ATTTAACGTTTCGAATAACAATGTTCCTCGCACACGATGCAGAAGCTATATCGAGCTCCGAAGCCTGTGCGCGTGGAATGCCCTTCCATACCACGGTGTGGATTTTAGTTTATAACGCCTACACAGATGTATATGTCACATGCTTACCGCATTCGCGGGACACCGGTCTTCTTACCCATCTCTCAGTGTTGCAGGTGCGACGACGAAGATCACGACGGGGAAAGGTATCATCAAAACTTAGAAGTAGAACGCAAGAATAAAATCTACGCAGAACCGTTACAACATGGCGCCGGGTAGTTTGTAAACATACTCTCGTTACCGTGCGCTGGTTCCCCGCTTCAAAACAAAAATGTGTTTGGCACATTTAAAATCATTTTCACCGCGTAAATAGTTTTATCACTTGAATGTATATATTCACATTTTTCTTTAAGTTAAATTGAGAGCTTAATGACCTCGCAATGAAGCACTCTCTTATACTGCTCATACTCTCGCAGAACAGCATAGGTTTGCTTCACCGAAAAACACCGCTGTCTTGCAGGGAAAGGTGCTTGCTGGCATTTGCACAGGTAAAAATGTCCTGTCTCAACGCCCCTTGCGAAATTGCAGTACATATGCACTGTTAAGGTACTGGTTGTGGGGGTGGCTTGTCTGTGGCCAGGAAAGCACACGGGTCAGTTGAAAATGATTATTATGGAATAAACATAATGGAAAGCAGCCTCAGACACAAGAATGAAGTAAAGGCACAAACACAACACAACAGATGACATGCAAGTGTAGTTTATCTTATGAAAAGGAAGCATTTTAATCTTCTTACATAAACACAAACACGCATGCCAACCAGGCAGCTGGCAATCACAGGGATAGAGCCTTACAATGTGGCAGTACTAAACTCCAATGTATGAATAAAGAAATTTTTTTTTTTTCGCTTTGTTTTGTAACAGAGGGTGTTTTCCATCATTATTAGTTTCGCTCTTACCAATTAGCCCAATCTACCATCCTACTTCAGCTCAATATGGGGGGCTAGTTACACTTGCAGAAACTGCAATGGCAAGATGAATGCTAGCGAGTTAATATCATCGCCAGAAAATTGACGGTGTTGTCACATATGGTAACAACAATGCACGCTCATGAATGGACTGTGTGAGACCATCAAAGTGCGGGAAGTGACTCTACTTGACATCTGGGGACTGAACACAACTGCCTCAGGCTACTCTTGGAGAGAACCATAGCGGTGGTCAAGGAACCAGTACAGCAACACCAGCCCAGATTACCTATGATATATGTCTTTCATTCCCTTTGTAACAATATAGAGGACACCAGATTTTGGGTCAGTACTTGTATTTCAGCATCGAAATAAACATAAAAATATATCCCTGATCTCACAATACATTCAAAGGAAGAATGTATCCCGTTACACTTTCAACTGGGCATGCCATGTCATCGTCCCAACTACCAGAATAGTTATCTTCTCCAAATGCTTTATCAGCTTGTACAAGCAGCTGACACCAGTTGAGAATAACAACCTAAAAGGTCTTGAGGAGATACTTCGTAAAATGGCAGGATGGCGGCTTCTGCGATACTGCAAAGTCAGTTTCCTTTAGGCAATATAACATAAGATGATCATATCAACCAAGTATGCCTCGACGGTGTAGAGCTCGAGCTCGGTCAAGAACGCCAAGCTTCGCTTTGCACTGGCACGCTCCCACAAAGCTTCGCCCAACATGCTTGCATGAAGCTTCAAACTTTACATGACAGCACTATGGCAAAGCATCTTAATTTTCTCGATTTCGCAGACCTATTTGCAAACTTCGAAAATATTCAGAATTACCGAATAATCCTATTCGATTCGAAGTATGAATCGAATATGGCATTATTCGCTTCAATAAGTTATAAATATATGTCCTTGCGGAGTGTGCAGACTATCCGTCTGCACACTCCGCAAGGACAATTCACTGAGGCGGTCATTGGCCATCATTGATTGAAGTCTTTGTTATGTCAATTTGGGCCTACTGAGAGATTGTTCACCCCTACAGTTTGTAACCATAAAAAAATAAAAATCTAGAATGGGTACATGAACACGTAGAAATGAGCCTTGAAGCTTTTCTCAGACTGGAGTTTTGGAATGTTTCTTATGGAAGCCTTCGTTTTTGGCAAATAAAAGGAACTATTCTAGTTCATTGGGGAAATTGTCCGACAGACCAGATTTATTTATTGCCTGGAATCACCACTTTCTGCAAAAGTGTGCCCCGGTCGGCAATAACAGTGAACTGTGAGCAGACTTTGCTGTAAGCACTGAAACGAGTTTTAAGTGAATGCAGGAGGTTGTCAATCATGCCAAGATTGGTATCACAGTAGAAGTTCAATGAGGCATCTTGAGGCTGAAGGTTGCCATTTGTGCTGATCGGTTGCTTTCTTTTGATTGTTGCTTTGTACGTTGTTCCCGATGTTTCCTTCGCTGCCTGTTTCATTTCTTTGAATCTTTCTCTTACACCAGATACAAAATCGCTCAATGATTTCATCAGGTTTGCAGCTTCATTCAATGTGAGCGACTGATTATGTAGCGTTCTTCTGATGGCATTGAAGCATCGCAACACTCTGTCCATGAACTAAGCTACGACTGTTGCAGTCATACCCATAGTCTTCAACCATAACCCATGTCTTTGCTAGTTCTTCCTAACCTTCAGACCCTCAGGGCGACCCTAATTTCCTAAACGAACAGAGCTTCATAGCATCCGCTCGAGCTGACCACCACTTGTCTTGGAGTCACATGGGCATGAATACCGTATCATTCTGTTTCAAATCAAGCCTGCAGAATATCCCGGCGAAGAGTAGACACAGAAAAAAAATTTATATACGATGTACGCAACGGTTAACACAGACCGCTCTGCGTGTTCTGTGTCGAGCGCTCTCGTGCCAACGCCAGCTGCTTTTGATTCAGCAATGGCCAGCGGTTGTCATAGACCTGGCCGTGTTCCAAAATGTACCCAATCTCACTCCAGAGCAACAGTTTCATACCTTTGTGTTCGAAAACCTTTCTGCGTCCAGCATTGCTCAGCTTGAATCGTCACGTGATAAGACCGCGCAGGAGTAGCTGGGATCCAGTCGAGTAAGGGTTCGAACACGCCCCCTATCAGGGGGGATCCCCTCACAGAGGGCCCTATTCATTTTAAGCAGTTTGAATATGGTTAATCTGGCAATGCCCCTGGGGCGACAAAAGGGACATGGTGAAATGCTGGCCTGTTACATGCAGACGCCAATTGTTCCAATTGATTTTAATGCATTATCTGGTACCTCGACACAACCTTTACAGAGAAGTGTTCTCAAACTTTCTGGTGACAAGGAACCCTAACAACCCACCTTTCCCTTGCACCCCTTCCACAATCCTTGATACCGCAGCGTTCACGCTGCACCAGGCGTGTCATGCTTCAATGCTTCGCATCATCGTGGTCACAAACGTCTCAGTGCTTTGCTTCGGTACACACGCTTCACCGCTATACACCGGTGCGTTGCGGCGGAGTATAGCGGTGAAGAAATACTTTGAAAATATTCAAAGTTGCCGAATACTCCTCACCAATTCAAACTGCGAGTAGAATATGGCATCAATCGCTTCAATATTCTGAATTTTAGAATATTTGTACAACCCTAAAATATGTCGTAAAGTACAGCTCAAGCACCCTCTACAAATCTGGAGATCATTGCAAAAATATGGGAGATAGGCAATTGATATGCTATCAGTTATCTATATTTCTACTGCCCACATTTGTTTTAGATGTTACAACAGTCAGGGGTGGGCGCTTATTTCACGGTATATATAGCATTTCAGTACAAACATACACTTCTTCATTTTCCCATAAAAAAATGAAATATATATTTGGGTGCTTGCGGAATCCAGAAGACCAGCCTACGGAACCCGGTTTGGGAACCCCGGGTGTATAATGTGCAGCCGTCTGTAAACAGCTTCTCAAAGCAATTTTTAAGAAAATAAAACTGAACCATCTAGAATAGCCTAAGCTGAAAAAGGCTTCCAAATATTTCTTTTGTAGCATTCATAATTAGGCACTGAACTTTTTGCTTGATGCTTTCATTGACTTTGTTTCTTCTTATGAGAAAAAGTGCACATCAACAATGACAATCAGCGACATGGTTCGCAAGCTACCCAACCAATGGTGTGCGAGCCCCCCTATGGCCGAAATGGTATTAAGACAGTGCAAAAAAGACGAAGGTCCAGTTGAAGGAGAACACAGACACAGCGCTGATTTGCAACTGAAAATTTTACTTGTGCATGGTACAGTAAGTAAACATAAAAAGCAGATAGATACCATTTCAAATGGACCAACCAACTAGCCCTACTACACACTTTGTTGCAGCCCTTCTATGGCCCTGAATTCATTCCTTACCACGAGAAAAGTGATGATTTTTGAAGCATCTCTGCAATTCCTTTATTTTTAAAGCTATTTGAAATATACCATAAAATCCCGAGGTTTATGTATGTACTTCCCAGTCAGCAACATTCACTTATATCCCGCCATAGCTAACTAGCCGCATTTGTGCCGAGGCTATCACTGATCCCAACACTACTATTACTAAAAATGGGTTATCTTTCGGTGTTTAAAAAAACAAAATCAAGCCAAAAACAGGGGTGGGCTACCTTTTGGGGGTAGGGCATCTCTCGGGATTTTACAGTAGTGCATTATGACACATCAAAATGTGGCCACTGAGATGCTCTTGAGAAATAAGCAAACTTTGAAATAATGGATTAGAAAGGTTCTTATAGAAAACTTCTTCATCCTAGCTCATATTGGCTGGGACTGCACATAGGGGACAAAAGGGACACTAACCGCCGAATTCACAAACCTCATTCCAATTTAGGCACCCCTCCACTTCCTCAAGGAAGGCGCGAGGGACGGCGCTGGCCAATTGCAAGGACGGCTAAGCAGCCAAGGCCGCCTATCCGTCGTCGCGACTGGCCAGCACCGACCCTTGCGCCTTCCTTGAGGACATGGAGGGGTGCCTAAATTGGAATGAGGTCTGTGAATTCGGAGATAACTTAGCTAGTGCTGGAGTGCGGCAAAGTGGAGACATGCACCACTCCAGTGGCCGCAGGCTCCACATCTCCCACACCTGTGAACCCGGAAGCGTCGGAATGCGGCACGGCACCCACCAAGGATTGAACGTCCAAAAAGTTTTGCGAGCGCCTTGCTGAGTGCAAATGCTATACACTGAATACCACGGACGCGGCACACATGGTATCGGTCGACGGCCAGCTTCTCAAGGTTCACCACGTTGCCTCGGCTGAGGAACAGGTGCTGAAACATCAGCGAATGAATTAATTAAAAGCATAAAACAAAGCTGGGTTGTGACCACTCCTTGGAACCACACAGGACACACATGTCTAACTTGGAAGCAGTCAATGAACATTATAGGGTTAGGTAGGGGTCAGTATGTTAGAGTATGTGCGTCCGTGTGGGGAGTGGAGATTGTTAACTCATGGCAAATTTTTTATGGGGCTGGTTGCTTATTATCGGGGTCCCCCCTTGTTTACTCAGGGGAGCATCTAACTGTAAACATCAAGGTACAGTGTTTGAGCTCGCTTTTGGGTTAAATCTCTGTTCTCCTTGGGGATCGGTTCTCGTGTGCCGAGTTCACTGCGATTTTAAGAAGTGATTTGGATTGTTTCTTATCGAGAATGTTTAGAACTTCCCAATGCATAGAGGCAGTTTCAAACTCTGTCAGAGTTTAAAAGTGCCTTCTGTACATGTTTCTTTCACAAATGGTGTACCCTTTTTTTTAGTCTATCTTGTTATATTCCTGACATAATTACCTATTTTGGGGAGTTTCAAACTTTTAGGAACTTACTGATCTGAACACATGCTTTTTTGACCTGTCTACAACTATATCCATCGCTGAGTGCTTACAAAAGAAGAGGTGTAATGCAATACATCTCACCGAAAAAGAAAAAAAATATTTCTGGTGTATGATATATTAGCTTAGAAAGACCAAATATTGAATTTAGAAATAAAAACCAATAAATGTATGCCAAATTCGAAAAAAAAAAAAAAAAAAAAAAGAAGGGCTGATCTTTAGTTATAGGTAGGGTTCAGCGTTTTCTTAATTTTTTTTTCTTGAATTTGGGGGTATTTTTTTTCGGTGTCTAATTTTTCCCACAGATTCACTGTTTTTTGTGTAAACTGGTTGAAGTCATAACCAGTTTACACAACAAACACCGAATCTGCAGGAAAAATAAACCCCCCCAGAAATACCCCCAAATTCGAGGAAAAAAAAATACTCAGAAAACACAGAACCCTAGTTATAGGTAGGCTGTGTACTTTCCAGTTTTAACTTAAAAATACTGAGAAAACATCCACCGATGGCAAAAATGCTAAATCGGTTAAAACCAAAAAAAACACCGGTTTTGGGGACAATTTGGTGCTAGGCGATTACTATTTTGGTTGAAACCCCCAAATCTAGGCATTTGCTGAGCCTGTTTTGCTACCAAGAATTAAGCAAACTGGGGTCTCCAACCAGTGGAATCGCTGACCTTGGAGGACAGGGGCCTGAGAGGTGAGTCAGACGGTTACTACCAACAGACACAATGCCCTTGTCGATTCATGTCGGAGGACGGCAGATAAGGAAGCAACTTGTCCCATAACAATTTTTTTTCACCAATCATCGCTGTTTTTAGTGTCCACATGAGCCAACAAGTCGAAAGCAGGGTTGTGCAGTATCGCAATACAAATGTATCGCAATAGTATTTCAGAAATACATTTTGTGTCTGCATTTCTGTATCGCAACACATTTTTTTTCACCAGTATCTGTATTTCTGTATCCAAATGCATTTGGGATATTTCTTGGTACTGCACTACAATCAAGACAGGATGTATTTCGTTACATTTCTTGACAAATAACTACCCCCCCCCCTGGATAAAAAAGACGGCAACTTTTTTGCTTTGCAAGAGAAGGCCAGAGGGAGGCCAGAAGGCGTTATGAAAAGAATGCTGTGCCTTTGCTATCACGCGAACCTACCGTAGAATACCGCGCATCCGCCCATTCCACATTAAGCGACCATTACCGAATCTGTGAGATCTGAAAAAATACATACGGCACATTTATATGTAAAATTCATGACCGGACAAGCGCCCATCCCCCATTTTTTTGCGATTATCTCACAAGTTTCAGTGGGCGCTTGCCCGGTATTTTACGGTAGGTTTGTCTGGAGCAATTTGTCTCGGATCTTAGTAACCCCCTTCTTTATTCTGCAAAACTGAAGAATGTTTTACACCATGCTTCTCTTATACCCTCCACACCCCCCCTCTCCCCTCCCCCCACAAAGGTGACGTTGGGGCATTGTTACTATGCTGACAAAGGTACAATCCAATTCCCAGAACTGTTTGTCTATGCGACCTCTTCTCTATTCTGTGAAGATAAGGAATGTGCTGTGAGTCGCACATTTCTTAATGAAGAAATGTGATTCCCAGCTGTGAAAGCAATGATGAAAATAATCCCTGGAGAAGGGGAACAAGAGGGACAAAAGACAAACAGAAATCTCCAAACACAGCTAGGTGACTGGTGCGCAACCGAAAAAATCCGCCTGGTCCAGGTATCAAACCTGGGGCCTTTCCATTACAGGTGGAGCGCTCTACCTACCAACTGAGGTAATTAAGGGTTATACGTCATTAGAGCAAATGGGTTTTATAAGCTGCCGCCAGTCTAACATCAACAAGGGTGAAGCTTGCAATTTAAGGTTAAGATTATAACACAATAAAATGCAAGGGTGCAAGCGAGTTTGACAAGAATGACGAAAATAATCCCTGGAGAAGGGTTTATTTTCCTTCTCCAGGGATTATTTTCGTCATTCTTGTCCAGCTCGCTTGCACCTTTGTATTTTAAAATTGCATATTGTAAAATTATATTTCAGTGTCAGTATTTCAGTATTTGTATTTCTGCCATCCCTAAGTCCCTAAGAGGTATTCCTGCATTTGTATCTCCCAATACATTTTGCTCCTCGTTAAAATGTATTTCCGATGCATATCACAATACATTTTTACAGATATATTTATCTATCACTATTTCAGCTATTTTTATGTATCGCAGCATTTGTATTTCCAAGTACATTGAGTGTTTGGGCCCAATCCCGGTCGAAAGACACCAATGTTTGAAAAATAAATAAACTGTGAAAAACATCCGCCCATTTTTCTCATAAAGAAACACCGGAGGATATATGGCCTAGTTATAGGCTATTTATATTTATTCAGTAAAATTCATTTTGGGTGTGTTCGTGGTATAAAAATACAACCAAAACCCAATGTAGCTCCTTAATGTTTTCAATGAATCAATGAACTGCCAAAAAAATATAAAGCTATTTCTTTTTGCTTTAAATGAGTGGAGACTGTTGCGAAGGGGCCACTGAGGCTTTGTTAGCTTGCGGGCCAGGATCTGATCAGAACATTTTGTCTCTGTCCATGAGGACCCTTAGGGTATAATTAATTGTTTACGTAACCTCTTAACGGCTTATAATAAGTTCAGCTTGTCATGAGTTATCCGCCATTTTGTGGTTCATGATGAGTGTACCTCATCACATACTGCTTTGTGCCTTTTGCATGGTTTGCAACAAGGTCAGTGAATAAGACAACAGCGTCAATTCTCTTTATGATAGAATAAATAAAAGAAACTGTTTCGTATAAGGTCTGCTTCAAAAATGTAAAGCATTTTAAGGTTAATCAACAGGTCATGCTATTTTCTGTTTTATAAGATTAACAAATGTTTTCCTTGAGACTCCACCTAGATTCTGAACATCTAAGGCACTGCAAGCACAAGCTCTACAGGTGTGCTCTGCACCTTCATGCCATATTGGTAGAGGGGAGCAGAGTTTATGCTTTCAAATACAATGAAATGCTGAAAAGGCAACCTAACCAAAGCAGAGCATGGAGACACCTCAAGATAATTTAGGAGGACCAAAAACTGATCTGGAGATGAGGTTGGCGTTGACAATTATTTAAGCTAGTTAACCATAGTAAAACAAACAATGCATAAAGCCTGGACATACATTAAAAGACAAACAAACCACAAAGCACCATTTTTATCGACACCCATCGAGAGTGTATTTTCAGTCGCTGACATAATGCTCTGCCCAAATTGACAGGTGCTAACTGATTGGACACCATGTGAAAAGCTTATCCAGAAATGTACGTGAGCATAGCAATTGTTATTTTGGTTTGTATTGCTTGCACACTGTACGTAAAAAGTAATATACATGGCTGGAGTGATCTTTCTTGGTATCATGAATACCTGGTTGTCAATAACACAGAAGATGACATTTAGAATACCTCAAAGTATGTATAACGTGATATCAATTGCAGAGCTAGCTGTAGGATTCTCTGGAAAGAGTGGCACCTGCACAAAGCAAGCTTAAAGGTTCTGTCAAGCTACATTAGTGATGGGTGTTACCTTGCAGAATTGAAAGGTGCAGCTTTGTTTTTGCAAAGCATTAGCAACCTGCATCAGGATGCAGATTGCCAAAAGCAATGTTTGATGCTTCCGTTGGGAGATGGAGCAACGTGCTGCAATTAGAAAAAAAACCCGTGATGGCGAGTCCGATGAGGGTGAAGATAATCTTGCTGTAACACAGCTTTCTTCTAATATTGCCACGCACATCGCTGAGTGGGCGCGTACGTGGTCGAATAGTTACCGTGCTTGATTGTCGTGCAGACGATTTGGGTGTGATTCCAAGTAGCAAAATGTTCTTTTATTTACTCTTTCTACTTGGCGTTCTCGCAAATTCGAGAACTTTCTTGTCTGATGAAGTTACGAATGTTGTACGCGCCGAAATTTGTAAATAGAATGTTCCAGAGATTTACGCAGCTGCAAAAGGGACTCCGCATGGCAAGCAGAGTCAGTCTCTTCCCAGCGCTTGATCCTGCTGTTTCGCCGACACCAACCCGTGCGACGCTAGCGTTTCTCTATTTTGTTTTGGGCATAAGTTCACCCCATTAGACGTTTACTTTCTTCAGTTATTCACCGCCTCATCATTTGTCATTCGTGACAATTATAGCAATGCACGCAAACATAAAAGCCACAACAAAAAAACGCAATTGGAGTCGAGACACCCTGCCGTAGATCTGTTGCTCCACAGTGCGGTCTACTTTCCGTGACGTGCTGTGCCACCTCTCAACATGAGAACCAAACACAACCCTCGGCCCTCAACATCAGCCCCCATAACTGAAAATCTTGCATACATTTTTCCGATTTTTCGCAAAAACAAATCTGTGCCTTTAACTTTCACACGGTAACATCGAACACTGCAATACACCTGTGACAAAATATGGATCTTGCGACGCCCAGACTATAACTTTTTGCTTTGTTTTACAGCAAACCCCCGCTACTGTGGCAACATACATTTCGAGATCTGTTTTGTTTCATTGACAAACATGTCATCGACAACTTTTAATCAAACGACATGTTATTGATACACATTTCATTGACACTGACATGCCATCGACAATCGTTACGCTAACTGTACGGTGTAGTGACATTTCGTTGTGAGTGTCACTGGGGCACGCGTTAACTTACCCGGCCCACCCGTCCACATCGTTTCGCAGCAGCAGTCAGTGGCGGCTCGCTACACAAATATTAACACACCTGGCCCACCCACTCAAGCTGTTTCGCGGCAACATTCTGCGAGGAGGCATTACAGAAAAAAAAAAAGCTTATCTGAACTGTCGATGTAACAAACTGTCGATGAAACAAACTGTCAATGAAACGTCGTTCGATGAACTGACTGCCCCCGATATTTCGGTATCAGGATTTCTTCTTCAAGTAAAACATATTTCAAGATACTTTGTCACCTATTTCTTAGTCATACGTATTTGAGGTGTTTTGCAATGCTCCTTTTATAAGTGTATTTCATGTATTTTGTATTTTAGTATCACTCCTTTAGCCGTCACTGCTGTGTATTCTCGTATTTGTCATTTCAAATGCTTTTTAGGTTATATCTGGCCAACCCTTCACTCAATAAACAGCATTCCAGAGGTATCATGAATACCTGGCTACCAATAACATAGAAGATGACATCTCGTCACAAGGGGCATGTCACATGTAACTCAAAAGGACAGTGCACCAGGGGTGCAAGTTCCATGTACTTACGTCGACATTCACGATGGTAACACCGAGGACCACCAACTTCCGTACTAAGAGGCTGTTCAGAGACAGCCTCTCGCTCTCCCTGGCATGCCCTAAAGGCCCACCCCGAGGCACCAACTTGAAAACGAGCACATGGCTCGTCAGGCCTTTCAAGGTGGTCACAAGCTCCTGGAAAGTGGAAAGGACATTGACTTATGCATAGGACAAAGCAAAACTATGCTATTGCTTATCAAGTTAATTGCAGTACACAAAATGGTGCACTTAGCTATGACAAAATTTGAAGCATGTGGACCGGCCTCACAGAGGTCCTGAATAAAAAAAGGGTACATGCGCAAAACTAGCACAGAAATGACCACCCTCAAAGCAAGGAGCCGGTAAAGCCAAGCTCGAATACAATGAGACAAGATACTGCCCATTATTAACTATGTTTGTTTCAAGTTGGGCGTGAGGAAGGGAGAAAGGTTGCAAGGCGGTACTCGATCACTTTTGAGTGGCACTTTTCCCGAATATGGGAGGATAACAAGGCCACTCCAGGCAAATGATAAGGCCACTCATCTGTAATCATAAACTCTCATCAAATACAAAGAGCCTACCAACTTACTTTGAGCATTAGCACATAACTGTTAAATAGAAAACCTTTCTTTTATTGGTTAGAATGTTCTTCTGATGCCCCAAATTTAGGATAAGCCTACCGTAAAATCCTGAGAGATAGCCCATCTAACATCAAGAGCAAATCGGGTGAAAATATGGGGTGGGCCAACTTCCAATGTACAATCAAAAAAAGTTTTAAAACAAATTGCTATTGTAGGGTCGTGTCCCTTCCGGCAATGAAGCAAAGGTATCTGTACTTCCCAGTCAGCAATGTTTATGTATATCCTACCATAGCTAACTACTGCATTTACGCCGAGGCCATCACTGATCCCAGCACTACGATTAATAGGAATGGGCTATCTTTCAGTGTTTAAAAAGATATAGCAAACCAAGCCAAAAATAGGGGTGGGCTATCTTTCGGGGTGGGGCACCTCTTGGGATTTTACGGTATATTGTGGATCAAGAACTAGTGGTGCGAAACTAGTTGCCAGAAATCTGACTATCAATAGTAAAAAAAATCTGCCAACAGCAATATCGATAGTTGAATATCGAAAAACTATTGATAGTCGACTATTAAAAAGCTATGGATAGTACTATCGATACTCTATCGGAAAATTATTGTTAATCGACTATCAGAAAACTATTGATAGTTGACTATCGTAAACCTATCAATAGTACAGTGAACAGCTTACTATTGATAGTTTTGTGACACTAGTAGTTTACGTCGCTACCTCTTCTCTTTTTCTCACTTAATTTTTTAAAGGGGGCACCAACTAGCCCAAGCACTTACCATCCCAACTTTGGTTCAGCCTTCAGTGATGACGAAGACAGGAGTTTGGGCGAAGAGAGGAGGAAGGGAGGCAAGCGGCGGTGCGGCAACTGTGTTCGCTCCGCACACGATTACTACAAACGCGAGAGAAACTTTGCGTCGCGCACACAGACTGCGGAGGAAACGGCGCCAGCGTTGGCAGCATGAGCTGGCACCTTCTGCAAGAGTCGTCGCCCTTTCTACTGCAGAACAAACAGAAAAAGAAAAACAAAAGTCCCCCACTGTTGCAAACCTAAACTATCCGGTAGCCCGCTGAATCTGGCTGAGCCTCGAGGACAAGCAGGCGAAGAGGGACCCACTGCTAGTGGTGCAAAACTATCGATAATATCGATAGTCGCCAGAAACCTGACTATCGATAGTAAAAAAGCTATCGATAGTCAACTATCAAAAAACTATTGATAGTTCTGCGACACTATCAATAGTTTTGGAAAAACTATTGATAGTATCGATAGTCAATTTATCGATAGTTTGCATCACTAGCAAAAACACAGCTCCAAAATACTACTAATACACTCTTTTCAACGTGACTTCCACACTGCCCTGAAAATTTTTGACGATTGGATTGGAACTGTCCTGATGTTGCTTTGCTAAAAACATACCAAAGACTGTGCATGATATGCTTTTGCACTCCTGAAACCAATGCAGCAACACAAAATCAAGTATAGGAGTGCCCTAGTCCTGTGAAAAGACCTTTATTTCATTTATATATAAAGGACAATAAAAAATGCAAACAAAATAATGTTAGAAGCGCACACAGTAAAAATAAGCATCAGCCCTAAGAGCACACATGGTCCTCCCGATATCCTCAGGATGTCATAACATCTGATGAGTGACCTTTGGACATCCATAGGGTATCTATGCTGCTAGTGAGGTTTTACATATCAAGGAAAGCTGCAAGTGTGGTTCAAAATTTATATCAGTCTTTGGTTATAAATGTAAACATTTCGGCGGAACTCCGCCTGGTTAGGTAAGTAATAAGAAAAAGTACAACGTAGACTCTAACCAATTCCTTCAATGTGCCCGACGTTTCGAAGCCAGCTCGGCTCCTTATTCACGGGTAACTGTATATGGGCCCAAAGGTAGCAACCTGTCCTCGGTTTCTTCTCTTCTCTCTTAGCTTTGTTTTCTTCTTCTGTTTCTGTGCGTGGCGCATTTTAGTCCGTGTATATAGCTGCTAGGAAGCGTTCCGGTGGATCGGTTCAGGTTGTTGCTTGTATTGTGTATGTGCCAAGATTCTATTAAGAGCCGCTTTCTCCAGTTTCTTTCTGTGTCGAGGATGGAGCTGCTGTCAAAGCCAATGGCGTGCCCGGTCTTTTGAGCATGTTCCGCCGGCGTGCTGCCTTGGATGTCATTCTTCTTTACGTCATACTTATGTCTACGCAGACGTTCGGGAAAGTTCTTCGTTTCCCCCACATAAGAGGCGTCGCATTCGGCACAAGCAATTTGGTAAATCAGGCCTTGAGCTTTTTCTTTTGGTGGACGATCCGTTGGAAGAGGAAGGAAATGGCCCAGAGTTGAGACAGGTTTATGCGTAACTGCAATGCCGTACGGTCTCAAAACGTGGGCTAGGACCTCGCTCGTGCCATGGAGGTACGGGACGCACATGCGACTGGAGGTGTTTTTGTTCTTGCATGTAGGAGGGTGACGAAGTTGTTTGTATATTTTGTTGACAAATCTCGTGGGGTAGTTGTTTTTCCGAAGGTCTCGCTTTATAATATCGACTTCCATCTTAAGTGACTTCTTTGTTGAGCAGACCGTGAGGGCGCGCCGAAAGAGCGCCGACACTACAGAGGATTTATGAGTTGTAGGGTGGTCTGACGAGAAGTTTAGGTAGCGACCGGTGTGCGTTGCTTTCCTGTGTACTTGGAAGGATAAATGGTTCCCTGTTTTTTCCACTGCCACATCCAGAAATGGAAGGCACGCGTTAGACTCATGTTCAACTGTGAATTGAATGTCTGGATAGATGGAATTGAAATGTTTGTGAAGGCGATCGACTTCGCTGGACTTGGCAACACAGAAGCAATCATCCACGTAACGTAGAAACAGAGTCGGTGTGGGAGAAAATGTGCTTAAGGCTTTTTGCTCGATGGCTTCCATTGTGAGGTTGGCTACAGTGACGGACACCGCGGCACCCATGGCTGTGCCACTACTTTGCTTGTAGTAGCGACCAGCGAAAGAAAAGTAGGTATTTGTCAGGCACAGCTCTAGTAGCCGACATATCTCATTCACCGAGAGGCGTGTTCTTTCAGGTAGAGTCGTGTCGGCCTTGAGTGCCGTTCTGACAACAGACACCGCGAGTCGAATGGGAATACTCGTGAAGAGAGATACCACATCAAATGAAACAAGGCACTCGTCGTCGTTCAATTGCAGGTCCGAAGCGAGTTCGATGAAGTGGACAGTGTTCTCGACATGTGTGTTGGTCTTCCCCATGAGTGGAAGAAACAGACAATGGAGATAGTTTGGCAGTGCTCGTAATGGCAACGTTGTAAAGTCAACTATGGGACGAAGCGGAATGCCACACTTGTGTATTTTTGGTAAGCCGTAGAACGCAGGAGTCGATCCGTTTCGGCAGATAAGACTAAGGTAGAGAGCCCGAAACTCCGGATATTTGTTGAAGACGGCGTAAAGCGCTTTGTTTAAGGTTCCTTGAATTTTTGGTGTCGGGTCTTTCGGTAGCATCATGTACGCTTTGGTGTTCAGAAGTGCGTGCACCTTCTCCTCATAGTTATAAAAATAATGTCAGGGAAGGAAATCCCTTTGAACACTAATAAATGTAGAGGAGATAATTTAGAGATGTTAGTTCTGGAAGTGGTAGGGAAGAGCTTGCGCAAATTGTCTCTGCTTGACGAAATATAAGAAGCACCCATATATACGGTGACCCAAGTCACCAGGCTCAATCTAAAATGGGCCATAAAAATTGACGCCTGCATATAGCAATCTAAACTTTTCATGAAAGATGTATTTCACAGGTCGGTTTTTTCTTGTAAAATTACAAAGCGTGGCTCTCTTTCTGTAAAAAAAATAGGGCCAAGGAACTTGCCAGGGTCTACGGCAAACGGCATCGCAGATGACCAAGACGAGTAGCGGGGTGGGTTTGGCGTTCATATTATAGATGGCGCCACCTCCTTATCACGATGGCTTGCGACCACTGTGGTTTATGAAAATCTTTTTGAAATGTAAATCTTTGGTTAAAAAATATATGTGGACAATAAAAGCAAAACATAAAGTTAAAAAAAAGGTGTCTGCATAGCGACGGGGCTTTTGCTGCCAACGGATTACGTCAGCATGTCGTCTGCTTTCTTTCACTAGACGGCCACGCCTTCGGATGCTGCTTCTGACGCCATTTATCGATATGAATGCCAAGCACACCCCGCTACTCAACTTGGTTGTCTGCGTCACCACCTGCTGTAGACCCTGGCAAGTTTCTTAGCCCTATTTTTTTACAGAAAAAGAGCTACGCATTGTAATTTTACTAGAAAAAAAACGACCTGTGAAGTACACTTGATGAAAAGTTTAGATTGCTACGTGCAGGCGTCAATTTTTACAGGTCCATTTTAGATTGAGCCTGGTGACTTGGGTCACCCTATATAAAGAGTGGACAGTCTACACATATTACAGCGGTGTGGGGAAGGCTAACCCAATTTTAGTGTTGAAATTCTTGCACGAGCATAGTTATGTAAAAATGAAACAGGTAGGTTTGCTTTGTACACCTTCTAACTTGTCTATCAAATATGACTACATTGAAGAAAAATGCCATGTAAACAATTGACCTTGCAAGTGATTACGTCACAACATGGCGTCTGGGTCCAAACAAACCGTTGCTAGAGGCGTTGCTATGGGCTAATGCATGGAGACACCACATGAGGCTACATTTTTTACAAGTAAGTAAATAATTTTTTGTAAGCAACGTAACTTCTTGATATCTAGTTATAAAAATGTTCTTGTCATCTCAGTGTCGTATTGCATTGATGAAAGCCATTTCTCATGTATTACACTCCGCTTTGCTTTGGTAGCAGGCGGCACGATAGATTTGCTGGCCTCTGTTGCGGCGGGCGTCTTCACTAAATTGCGTGGGTAAACGAGCGACAAAAACAAGTGCATCACCATGGCTGTAGAGGCCTCCGCAATGTGCTTTTTGTTCGAACCCAGCTTAGTTCAGAGGGGTGAAAATGCCGTAAAATCAAACCACGTTACGCAGATCAGTTACAGCGATGACCTGAAGTGCATTACCAGCATAGTGCAGGCCAGCATGAGAAACAAATGGTATGCCGTCGAGGTAAGTCGTTGGTTATCATTATTATTGAGGTTGTCAGGTTATTAAAGAATTGAAGGTAAACATGTTCGGCAGATATCTGCCTGGTTGGGTGAATTTAAATGTAAAGAATAAAGAAATACGCGAACCAAAAAGTCGAAAAATTGTCCCAACGTTTCGAAATAGTTTGTTTCTTCCTCAGGGGCGACTAAACGGGATAATAGCTTCTTTGTCTTTCTTTGAACTGGCTATCTCTTCTTCTTCATTGTCGATTGCTGGTTGTCTTCGTTTCGCCTGTGCCGTCTTGATTGTATCTCGTAACCCATGAACATATAAACTGGGTAAGGTGCCTAGAGACCTATTGATGTTATTTGCGGTGTTTTGAATATGCCAGGATTCTATCAGCTGTCTTCTGCGTAGGTTCGTCTCAGTACCCAGAATGCTTGCATCTTCAAATCCGATACGGTGGTCATTAACTTCACAGTGCTCCGCCAGAGCACTGCGTTCGCGGTCGAAGTTGCGTACGTCATTTTTGTGTTGACGGAGCCGTTCTTGGAAGTTTTTAGTTTCTCCAATGTAGGAGGCGGGGCACTGGGTGCAGGATATTTGGTAAATTACACCTTGGGCCCTTTCCTTGGGTGGATGACTTTTTGGCCGAGGTAGAAAACGCCCGAGTGTGGTCACAGGTTTATGTAAGAATTGCATGTCTATCGCGATTTCGTAGTATTTTGCTTTTTTTCTTCCTTGGTATACATCAAATTTAGTGGATGTGCTCTTTTGGTGAAACCTCCATCGAACACGCGATGCGAGTGCAACTGTAATAAACTCACCTTATGTTCTTTATCCAGTTCTTTTGCGTTTTGGGGTCTTGAAATATGAAGAAACTGCAAGAATCTTTCTCCATGCGATGGTTACCACCAGGTACGAAGCAACCTCCCATAGCGCGGGTCCACAAACAAAATTAGGGATCTCAACCAATCGCATGAAGTGCTTTTCTCAGGGGTGCAATGCACTCTTTTAGCAGATGATGAACTTGATCGACGCCCGGACTTTCGATAAACCATATTTTGCATCGCACCTCACTATGAATTCTTATAAGTGTCTGAAACTAATCATATTTCAAACAAATGCAATATCAGAATATAGTCTTTATTCAGATGCCGGCTTGGCCGGCGGGCATGTGGCAGACGGCATACTACTCGCATTCGTCGTCTGCTGCAGGCATCTTGAGGAACGGAAATTACCGTCATAAATATTTCAGAAATAAGCGATTATCGACACACTTCTGTCGAAACATATATGACATTCAAGCTTTCTATATCTGTGATTTTTAAAAGTTTAAATCCTACTCCTGATATTTGAACGGTCGGGTTTTCGTAGCAAAACTTAGCCACATGTATTTGTCCATAACGACGACCCTATCAACGGTTTGTTTGGACCCATGACGTCACACTTACGGTGTCAATTGTTGTACTCAGCACCCTGCAGAGTACATTCAGTACTCTGCACTGCACATACCGTATATGCCTGAAAGTCGCCATACCTACTGCCATATAAGTATCCGAAATCTAGTTTACTTAAATTTCTCTAGTGATTGAATCTTAGGCATTGCTCTACAAGCTTCGTGATGTGAGGGGCCGAAACAAAAGGTGAATTCTGAAGCAACAAAAACAAGTATGAGCTTTAAAGCATGTGTTTGTACCTTTTTCTTATGTATTGTTATGAAAGTGAGCTCAAGATCACCGCTGTGCTATCCAGCACGCGTATGCTAGCGGTGCCATTAGAATGTCAAGCAGCTTAATTCACTAATTAAAAAACTGTAGCAAAAAAAAATCCGCTTCAAGAGTTTTGTGCTATTGTCAATAGCACAAAACTCTTGCAGCTATTTAAGATCAGCATTTGTTCATATGGTTTCGAGTATGTATGATTGGTATATCCAAAAATTGTTGAACACGCAAATTAAAAAATTTTGAAGAGCCATTTTTGAGTTGTGCTTTTGTGCAAATTGTAAAGACTAAAATTTACAACTTCTTATCTATTTCTATTACAAACAAAACCTGCCATCATTGAAAGGTGCACTGAAATTACGTTTTCCTGCAAAAGATATTTGAATGGTAATACACCGAGTATGTATTCATGGGCTGCACTGCCGTCACATCGCATACTTTTGACCACCATGTAGCAGGAGGAGAGGGAAGCTGCTTTTGTAAGAATTTTGAGTGACAGGTTAATCTTCTATAATCTGGGAAGAGAACAGCGACGTCTGTGCTTATCCGGGAGGCACAAAAGAGGATCCTGATAAGAGGGGAGCTCCCTCTTCCCCTTTTCTCTGGTGGTCATCGGAGCGCTCTTTGAATGACGTCAAGTGCAACACATAGCAAGTACTTACATCAAGAATTTGACCTGCAAGGTCCACCCACAGCAAGTCAAAGACAGAGAGAAACCACCCTGACATAGCCGCTCGATTATTACAATTACAATAGCAGCAGGCCACCGCAGCGGGACATGGGGTACAGGAAGAGATGACACAAAGTGAAACGCACCTCGATCCGTGAAGAAATAGCTTCCGCGGAATCCCCGCCATATAGGTCGTTGCCGCCCACATACACGGCGACGAAGTCCGTTGCGTGCAGGTGTAAACGTCCAACTTCCCCGGGCAGCGTCCGTGTGGACGCACCAGGAAAGCTGAACGTGCACACCTGCACGCTCGGGACGAGGCGAAGTCTGTCGCGCTCCAAAAACTTTATCTGGCTGTCGCCAATTACCACACCCCGGAGAGCAGCCATGACCCCCGAATCAGTCCAAACTTCAAACCCGTGGTTCAAACCACAGGTTCAAACAGTTCAAATGCGCCAACCGACACACCGGACACGGCGACACGGCCAACACGGCTGTGATGTTGGCAACCAACGTATCAACGGATTCCCTACGAGCGGTTTTCCCTACGCTGGCGTTGTCCCCAGATCTAGGCACGGGCAGATCTCTGGATAGGCGCTCGCTCATCCATGAGCCGTTCGACAAAATGTCAGCTTCTTGTGTAGTATGTAGTGCGACCAATTATTGTGACAACAAAGACACCGCACGGCTTTTTAGATTTCCATCGCCGCTACTGCATCCCGAAAAGAGAGCAGCTTGGGTAGCTGCTGTGAGGAGTGAGCTGCCGGACGGCTCGCTATGGGAGCCGATCGGGGACTGTCACATCTGCAGCGCGCACTTTGTCACAGGTACCGCTCCGTAAGATTCTGGCGAGCTTTGCTCGATTATAATGTGACTCTTTAATATAGGGCGGCCATCGAACTTCAAGGACCGCCCTGACTTCGTTCCCACCGTGTTCAACCGCACAAGACCTGGCGGTACCGCACTGCAGCCGTATAACTTCTGTGTGGAGAGGCAGAAAGGTAAACGCTGGATTTCTCTTGCCACCCCACTTTCGGGTGCTTCTAGTAGATCACACAGAAGACTGGCTGCACGCGCTGTTACACGCACTGCTTCGTGCGAGTTTCGCCTTGGTGTGTGACACGGTAGCGCTCCGGGCGCGTAGCTAAGAGCATGCTTCAGAATCAAATAAAACTACAAAAAAAAAATTCAAGAAAAAATCCGCTGGCAACGTTGTTTGATTAGCTCAGTTAGAGGGCAGAGGACGTGGACACCAGTGGGGTGGCAAAGGCAGCGGAGCCGTTGTAAAATACGGTAATGCGACTGCAGTCCCCTACTCCGACAGCCACTAAACTTGCGAAGCGGGAAAAACAAAAGAAAAGGGGGCAGAGAGTGTTATTGGTAGGGAGCTCTAATGTGTCTAGGTGCACAGTGGGGATCGCCAGCAAGGCCGAGGGAGATGGGAGAGTAAGGGTTGCAACCCTATTAGGCCGGGGGTTTGAAGGAGGTGATGGACACGGCAGTAGAAATGTTTGGCTATGAACAAGGGTGAGGAAAACCTTATGGTGGAATATGCAGAATCAAATGATGTTCTAGATAGAAGGGGAAGGGACCTGGCCACACACATCGGGGAGGGTGTGAAGTACATGAGGGTCATAATTTTCGGGATGGTGCACATTGTAATGTGCATCGTCCCGGAGGTCAGGGGCCGAGGAGTAAGTTCAGACAGGGCAGTCCAGGAGGCTAACAGGACCATCAGGAGACAGCTCTAAGAATGGGTGCAAAGTCAGGAGAGTCCGGTCCCCCTGTTCACACGAGACAGCATCCACCATGGGGAACTGATGGGGATGCGGGTGGGGCGAACAATGGGCTGTATAGCAAAGGCTTTTTTAGGAGCTGGCAGAGCCCTCCGGTAGCTGGTTCAAAAGCAAATAAGAAGGTTGGGAGGAAGCCTTGCAGAAGAAGGGAAAAAAAGCAGCTCAATATAGGATCTACATACATGCAGGGGGCAGAAATAAAATGAAGTGGGAAGAAATTATGGAACAATTCAATTATGAAGATTTTGTAGTGTATGGATTGGCAGAGATGCATCTTAGAGATAGGGAGGAACTAATGTACTTGGCAGGTTATTTTTGGTGGAATGTTGTCGATGTGTCGATGTGAAGGGGAACGGAAAAGAGGCGGGTTGGGAGGCTCTAGTGAAAGGCCAGGGCTGGGAAAGGGTGAGGGAAAGCTGCAGAGAGCACATGTGGTTAAAAGGTAATATTAGAGGTTTAAACATGCTCATAGGATTTGTATATCTGAAAACAGGAGCTGATTCAAGAGAGGAAACTTCACAGCACTGGACAAGTATTTCCGAAGATATTGGAGAAATAGGCACTAATCGTAAAATAGTTATCTTAGGAGACATGAATGCGCGCTTAGAATACTTCGAGGGATACACAGATTCTACAGGGAGGATACTACAAGAATTCTGCAATGCTCTTGATCTAGTGCTTGTTAATGCCCAAGTTAAATGTGATGGAAAAATAATGTGAGAGGAAACAATTTATGCTCAACAATTGATTACTGTCTAATTAATGTCTAGCAAATTGTATAACGGATTATGACAGATGGAAATAGATGAGGAAGGCACGAAAAGCTTAGGAAGTGTTCATAAGCTACTCAAAATAAAGTTTGGTACAGCAGAACCAGAGAAACACATTCTTGAACGAGAAAGTATATTGACCTTAAACGATACCCAACTACGTGAAGTATCAGAACGAATTGAGGCTGTAGTATCCAGACAATTGTAGAGAGAATTGAAATATAAGGATTTAGTAAACACTTTTAAAAGAGCGAGAAGTTCAAAATTAAACAAAGAGAAAGGAGAAGGAAACAGATACCAAATTGCTGGTGGGACAGTGAAGTTAAGGCAGCCGTAACAGGGCGACAGAAGGCCTCGGAGGGACACAGATGGGCAACGAAAATGGGGGACACAGTCACTGAGGTAGTATTGAAATGGAATACATTTCTGGAAAGAAAAAGAGAGGCATCTGCTCTAATCCAGGCAAGTAAATCAACATGATAGGAATGCAGCAAAAAGGCTCTGGGAGTGCATTAATGCTCAGGGAAGAAGAACAGAAGGGTTCTATTTTTCATTGACCACACAAGAGGGGATAAGTGTAGAGGGCGAGGAGGCAAGGGAGTTTATTAGACAAACAGTCGAGGCAACATTTGCAGAACTTGAACCGAACAAGATTGAACAGAACACAAACAGCAACGCGGCACAAGATGAGAACACTAACGAGACAACAGCGATGACCACGGGGCAATCGGAGAGAGCAGAAAGTAAAGTACCTGATGGAGCGGCGACAATTCCAGATGGTATAGGAATAAGACTAGTCAAGTCACTAGGAAGAAAAATGACATTAGAGTTAAGACAGGCAACTGATCAAATAATAACAAGGTGAGAGGTACTCAATGATTAGAAACTAAGCTGAAAGAGATTACTATATAAAGGCAAGGGAAATAAGGAGAGCTTAACATCATACCACCTAATAACAGAAACTTCGGTCCTGTCCAGACTAGCGATGTAGGTAGTAAAAAGAAGAATGGAAGAATGGGCCGAAAACATTTTAGGTGAGCTGCAGAACGGGTTTTGAAGGAATAGAAGATTAGATAATAACTTATTCATCATCACTTAATGTATAGAGGTGGCACGGATGAGTAAAAAACTATTATGGATAGCATTTCTACACATTAAAGTGGCGTATGACAATGTGAGTCAGGAAAAACTCTGGGTACAGCTGAGGGAGTGATTTAGGTACACATTTGATTGAGCGTTTACAACAGGTGTACACAAATAATAAGGTTTTTATCACATGGAAAGCAGAAGTAACAGAACTGGCAGAAGTAAAGGAGACTCAGGCAGAGTTGTTCCCTATCACCTCTACTTTTTTATGATATACCTGAGTAGAATGGAAAAGAAATTAGAATAGTGCAGTTTACATTTTGATTTGGTATATATGGAGAGAGAGGGGAAAAGCAAACCAAGTTATACCAGGAATGCTCTACGCAGACGACATTGCACTGTTAGCAGATAGCCGGGATATGTTACAGGAGACAATTAAAATTTGTGGAGAGGAAGGCGACTCTCTGGGCCTGAAATTCAGTAACAAAAAGTCGGGAATAATGGTTTGTAACTATGAGAAGGGCGACCTGCTGAAAATTCAAGACGTTAATAGAACACGTAAAGAAGTATATATACCTAGGAGTATGGCTGAATGAGGGAAAAGAATACTTAAAAGAACAGAAAAAAAATACACTAAAGATGAAAAAAGGGTATGCAGCAATTATCAAGCATAGGGCACTATGGAATTACCATAGATATGAAGTTGTGTGGGGAATATGGAAAGGAGTCATGGTACCGGGGTCGTCTTTTGGCAATGAGGTATTATGCATGAAATCTGAGGTCCAGTCGAGCACAGACACCCGGCAGAGGAGCGTGGGTAGACTGGCACTGGGGGCACGTGGGAATACACCAAATGAAGGAGTGCAGGGAGACATAGGCTGGGCATCTTTTCGAGGCTAGAAAGGCAATCAGTAAGTTGAAATTCATACAAAGGCTAGACAGAATTGAGGATGCACGATGGGCGAGAAAGGTATATAAGCATCTATACATGAAAAGTATGAACACTAAATGGGCAAACCGATCCAGAAAATTTAAATTCATATACCAACAGTCAAGTGCTGGGGCAGAGCAGAATACCTCTGCGAAAAAGGAAGTAAAAGAAGTCGAGACAAAGGAGTAAGAGGAAAGAATGCAAGGAAGATCAACTTTAACTATGTATAGGAGAGGAAAGCAGGAAATAAGGAAGGAACATTGGTATGATAATTCACGGGGGAGCTTGTTGTTAATCGATGCTAGAACGGGAGTATTGAGGACTCTGACGTTTTGGACAATGTATGAGGAAATGGATATGCAGTGCGCCAAATGCCAAGGGGAAGACGAGACAATAGAACATGTGGGCGATGGATTTAGCCTGAGCGCTGGGGTTTGCAGACGACAATGGAAGAATGGATGGTAAGTGCATTTTATTAACAAGGAGGTGATTGGAGCTGGTGGATTTATCTAGGCAGAATTAAATTGAATGACGTACAACAAACTGACTCGGTTGGGGGAGGCTGGACCGAGGAAAAGTGGGACTCCTTATTGCATGGCTCCGGCCCAAGGTCTCCACCCTGTCTCCCAGTGCCGGGGTAGCGCCGACTAGGTTTGACCAAGGGAAAATTTGCGACTCTATCAAGAGTGGGGGCATGATGTGGGGGCATGATGTTTTTAGTTTTTTTGCCCAATCCTCCAAAGGTCATCCCGGTCATAGGCGTATACTACGGGGGGGCATTGAGGCTCGTGCCCCCCCTCCGCTGAAATCCAGGGGAAGCAGATTCCCCCCCCCCCCCCCCAACCATGATTTTTACCGAGACGCTGTTTACGTGGATTAGTGCTTCAGAAGCACAGGGGCCTGGGTTCTACCCCCACAACTTCGCAGCTGGCACAAGCATTTTGTTTTCAGTTTTGTGCTCGCCGGCGCATGCGCCGTGGTACCGGCGAGGAACACTCGGCTACGCTTGCACGGTGATAGACATTGATGGCGATATACATACGCTATAAAATGTACCCCCTAAAATAAACTACTGATAATTGCCGGTGTAAAAAAAATTGCACGGAAAAGCACCCTCCCCCCCAAAGAACTTCTTAGCCCCCCCCCCCCTCCCCCCTCCGGGAAAATGGGAAGTCTGCGCCGCTGATCCCGGTGATATCCCAGACTGCCTAGTAATAGTTATGAAATTGCAGAGGGTAAGCAAATTAACAAAGAAAAGAAATCATACTTTTAGTTCTTAACTTCTTGGCTTGGTGGCACAAGCTACTGCATGTTATAAAAGGTATGGGCATTAGTATTGATCGATCTATCCTTATGGAAACTCCTCTAGCTCGCCTCGCAAAGGGTTGGCATTATGTAATTTGTTTTATAGCATCATAAACAAAAAAAAAGAAAGAGCATGTGGAAGGGCTTTTGGAAACAGCCGGGTTGGTGGTTGCTTATAGAAGTTTCTCTCAGCCGGTAGGTTTATCCAGTTTGACAGCTGCCAGACTGAACCTGGCGAAACGGAAAGATTTGGAGTCTGGCGGATCGATGAGGTGCAAAGGAGATTGGAAGACTGGGGGAAAAGATCTAGGGAGGGGTAAAAATACAGATAAAAATAAGCAATGGAAACACTTTAAAAAGAAAGAAAATAGAGCTGTGTTAAAAAAAATTATACAAATTAAAAAAGAAGGATGATGAAATGTTAGGCTAGGTGGCGCAAGCTGCCGCCCGTTACAAAGGGATACCTATTACCATCCATCCATCCATCCAAATGCTTAAGGTGCTGCCGATTCCTTGGGTTAGCCAAATTTTTTAGTTTATGCATTCATCCAATGATTTTAATGTACACATCCACACATCTTAACCATCGTACCATTGCACCATACATCGTGCCTGCTACGATGTATGATGCAACAGAGCATTTAACATTAATGTTCCAGAGTTGTGCCCCTTTATATTTACCTAATCAAAATTTGTTTTTAAAATAAAAATATCCCTTTGCGACTTCAGGTATTTCACTGTAAAGTTATATTCTATACTTTCCAACGCTTATAGAACAAACCTAGTTTGCTTCAATTGTAACTCATTGTACAACTGGTTAAAGGGACACTGACAGGGTATTTATGCTCGCTGAGGTTTTTAGTTGTACGTGACATATGAGAGCTCAACTACCCAGAACAGAATTTGCGGCTCGAAATTCGGTTTCTTTCCGCCCGAAAACCGCCGATCAAGAACTGGCCGGTTCGAGTCTCGCTCACTCTCTTTTTCGCGGTCACGGGCCGTTTTCTAAGGTATCGATGCGACCACCAAATTTAATCAAAGTGGTGGGTCACTGAAGGCCCTCACTCATTATTAAAAATAGAAAAAAATATTAAACCCATTTTTTGTGGCTTCTAAAAAGCTGTAAATACGTTGATTGAAAAAAAAAGTTCCACAGACAACCGGAAGCATTCTGTGCGTTCGTCGTTTCGCGTATCGTGGGACTCGCGGGGACGGCGATGGCAGCGGACGACGGGCGTGGGACCTCTATTTCAGAACTGTCGTTTGCGGTACCGGCGAATTCTGTCTACCGTTAAAAGAGAAATTTGGGACTGATCAAAAGAATTGGTATTCATCCCGTACGACACGCCCGGCCACCAAGCCGATTTGCACGAAGACGTCGCCGAGCCGTCGCTCCCTTCTCGTGGCTGAAGACATCGCTCGCGCAAACGTCAAGCACGACGTGTCTACTTCGAGTTCAATACGCACGCGTACGATTTCTTTACTAGGTGCGAATGTCCCCAAAGCGTGGTGCTTCCCGACTTCGACCCAGGAGTGCTTTTGCTAGAGAAAAATCGACAGCAAACTTTCCAACTTACAGTTTACCGGCTGAATTATTACTAAGGAAAGAGATCCACCAGAAAAGCGACGCCCCAGTAGCTCAGTGGGAAAGACGTCCGGTTCACACGCGGTTGGACCGGGTTCGATCCCCGTGAAACTTTATTTTTTTTTCTTCAAACATTTTCCGATGTTTACATATATATATATTTTTTTACAATCATCACTGAAGAAACAAACAAAAAAATAACAAACTAATGTTGTGGACGATACTTCGCTGATTTAAATGGTATGGGATTTCCGTTTTGACACCTGCGAGCTCAATGTAATCACTTTCCACAAAATGCAAGGAGCATATAAATCAGGTAACGTCCGCTTTCCGAGGTGCCCGTATATGTTCTACAGGAATTGCAGCCAGCCGTTGGTCCCGATCCCGTTGATCTTTCGGAAACTCTGTCGCACAATGCCACTTTTTTTCGGATGCAGGACATGTGAGCCAGCTCTTCACGCAGTATCTTGGGTGTATTCTTTTCGGAGCCGATCATGGAAATTCACCACGGGCACTCACTACTCATCTCCAACTCCTCAATGTACAAAACAACTTATCTTGGAGTACAGAACAACGAGCGGAACAAACATAACTACAAAAAAATCGCACGGCGAGCAGTTCCCGCACGCCCCATCGCACGCCGCATGTCCTGTCGTCTGCTACCGGAGAAGAGAAAAAACAAAACAAAACAAAAAAAAAGACAAACGCACGGTAGGGTGTAGCCACGTGACTTCCGCCACTCACTCTCTTCTCTCCACTTCTCCGACCTCCGTCGGGTTTCGGTTTCGGTTTCGAGGAGTTGCGTCTTTTGGCTTTATTAAAAAAATACGCCACTCTGTTGCAAAATATTAATTGGGTAGTCCTCCGACACCATAATGAAGCGCCTGGCAAAAAATAAAAAAATTTTTTGGGGGGGTGTCAGTGTCCCTTTAAGATTCTTTAAATTATGTCACAGTTACCGCTCATTCACACTGGAAGCGGATCCGCGTTCGCAAAGCGGTTGCGAACGCGGTTGTATAAAGATCCAGTACAATTGCACGCGCACCTGATGTCATCGAGTTCGCGTGCAATTGCACTGAATCTTTATACAACCGCGTTGGCAACCGCTTTGCGAATGCAGATCCGCTTCCAGTGTGAATGAGCGGTTACTGCTATAAGGTTCCAAAACAATTTTTTTTTTTTTTTTCGTGTTAGTATTATAGTTAAGATGTTTGTTTTTTTGTTTGTTTTTTTTTTGGGGAGGGAGGGAGGGGGAGAGGGAAGAGGGGTTGAGGTGTCTGGGAGTTTGGGATACCAACAAAGGGTTGGGGGGAGGTGTCAGAACACGTGTATATTATAGGGTCGGCTAGGTCTTGGGGGAAAGGGGGGGGGGGGGGGGGGGCACTGAAGCCCCACAAGCTTCTACCTTGGCTATTCCACTGCCTTGTGCCTCAAAATGCAGGTTTGTGTGCTCTTAAGTTGCTGCAAAATGCTGAATTTTCTGCTCCTAAGCTGCTCTAAAATGCACATTTTTCTGCTCCAAAAATTGCTCCAAAATCAGTTTGCTTTCTCCCACCCCTGCATTATGTCAAGAAAATTAAATTGTTTCAAGATAAACAATCTCCCCAATGTTATTGACTTGCGTATGATGCAAGTAATGTGAGGTAACAATAAACATGAAAAACAAGGGAGGATGCTAGCACATCTTTTATCTAAAAATCGCCAGCTACTTTTCTCCCTGAGGTCCAACAATGCTTGCAATGAAATATTTCAGGAGCAATCGTACAAAGTTTACAAAACACTAAACAATAAAAACATACTGTTTAAAAATTCCCCCATTAATATAGCTTAAAAATTTATTTTATAGAACCTGTCGTCACTAGATGCCATGGTATCACATGATACACCTCCGCCACACCATGACTTTAGGTCATGTGTCATCAATATCCCTGCTAATTTTATCTGGAAAATTCACTTGACATCATGGCATGATGCTGTGTGACCTGACATCACTTGACAAATTTTCCCTATAAATTTTGCAAGGATATGCATGTTCTATGATGCCAGTTCTTTGGGCTTTTCGTGTCTGCCCTAGTACATGTGACACCTTTTTTTTATAGGTGAAGGAGCTGCCCTTGCGGGGGAGGAGACCAGCTGCCAGCTTAGAGCCACTGAGGACATCAGGTTTAAATGCTGTTTCTGTGCCTATGTCACCACTGATCAGCATGGAATTATTAACCACCTGGTCTCCCACGGTATTCAACAATTCAAGTGCCAACATTGTTCAGTGTTATTTGACTCCATGTTAGAATTGCAGTGTCACTCTCAAATGCATAGAAGTGATATGCCATTCAAACGTCCCAGTTCTCCGAAATCGTCCCTCAGCGAGCAGGTCTGTTTAGCTCGCACGCATACCTACAAGTGCCAGTTCTGTCATTTAGCCTTTAAGGAGCGTGGTGGTCTGACCAGGCACTATCAAACACACTTGGCAGAAAAATCTTTCAAGTGCAAACAATGTCCCAAAGCCTTTGCACATAGTAGCAGTTTGGCCTACCACAGTCGAATACACACAGGTGAAAAAACTTACAAGTGTAAGCATTGCCCCAAGGTTTTCACTCGGAATTGCTTTCTAACCATCCACAATCGAATGCACACGGGCGAAAAGCCTTATCAATGCATGCAATGTCCAAAAGCCTTCGGTCATCACAACAGCTTGATTGAACACAATAGAATCCACACGGGTGAAAGACCTTACAAATGTGAACTGTGCTCCAAAGCCTTCACTCGACAATCAGGCCTGACCGAGCACATTCGAACTCACACAGGTGAAAAACCTTACAAATGCAAGCAATGCCCTAAAGCCTTTGCTCAGAGACACAGTCTGACTGTGCACACTCGAATACACACGAAGGAAAAGCCTTACAAATGTAAGCAATGCCCCAAAGCCTATGCTCAGAATATCTGTCTGATCCTCCACAATCGAACGCACACAGGTGAAAGGCCTTACAAGTGTAAACTGTGCCCCAAAGCCTTCGCTTGGGAATCAATCCTGACCAGCCACATTCAAATGCACATACGCAACCAGTACAAGCCGTGCTCCAAAGCCTTTGCTGAGAATACCAGTCTGACCATCCACGATGGAGTGCATATGGGTGAAAAGCCTTATAAATGCAAGCAATGTCCTAAAACTTTCTGTCATAGGGGTGCTCTGGCCATTCACCACAGAGTACACACAGGTGAAAAACCATACAAGTGTATGCTGTGCCCGAGTGCCTTCAGTCGGCCATCAACCCTGACCGACCACATTCGAACACACACGGGCATCAAGCCTTATAAGTGCAAGCAATGCCCTAAGGCCTTTACTCAGGGTCACCACCTGACTGCTCACTATCGAACACACACAGGTGAAAAACCTTACAAGTGTGAGCAATGCCCTAAAGCCTTTTCTCAGAATGGCACTTTGACCCTCCACAGTCGAACGCACACAGGTGAAAGACCTTACAAATGTAAGCTGTGTCCCAAAGCCTTCACATGGCAGTCATCCTTCAAACACCACAATCGAATGCACGCCGGCAAAAAACACAAGTGAAGGCAATAGTGTCGTGTGAATATTCCAATAGTAGTTTCAAATAAAATGCTATTCAATATTCGCTTCGATATAAACTGGGATATTTGTATTTTTCGAAGTGTTGATCACGGTTGGGTAGCCCCGTTGAGCTCGCTCTTTTCCGAACATGGGTGCACTGCGGAGAAGCATCACCCGCGGAAGCGGACTTTGCAGGTGTTGTTTCTCTGCAGTGCTCAGGTGATCGGTAAGTGCGCTCAACAGGGCTAACCCACTGCAATCAAAATTTCAAAAAGTAGAAATGAGGACTTTTTTTTTGTTAACCCTACAATGCATGACTTTTTATATATTCCTCAAAAAAATATTTTCTTGGTCTATTGCACCAAAAGAAACTACAAAAAATTAATAAAAAAATTCTGGCTTTATTTTTAGCTTTTGAAATCAATAAAAAATGTGTGTATCATATATGATACACCATGCATTTGGGGTACTATCGGTTATGAAAAGCATAAAAGCAATTCTTTTTTTGGTTGATGCAAAGAGCGACGCCACACTTGTCGCATTTCACAAACGTGAGCGCCGGGCACTGTGGAAGTTTGCAGCGCTGTCTCGTGTCCATCCACTGAGGCCAGTGACTGAGCTGGTCAAGCCGGATGTCTTGTGGAGGAACGTGCGTGGCAGGCCCTTTCTTCTTTTTTGCTTCAAGTTCGCGTTGTAGCTCTGCTGATGGTCTGCCTCATTTGGCTACCATTTCTCCTTTTTTGCGAGGCATTGGGCAACCTCCTTTCGAAACGTTGCAAGAGGTGTTGCAGCAGAGTCGCCTTTACTTCTTTTGTGGAGTATCCAGAAGTTCACCATGGTGAGGTCAATGAGGTGATAGAAGAGCTTGAAGTACCACTTCCTCGATCGCATGGCAATCTTATACCGACCCATGAGTCCATCAAGGAGGTCCACCCCACCCATGTGGAGGTTATACTCGACGATTATGTTGGGGCCAGTCTTGGGTAAGTTACTTTTGAAAAGTAATTCGTTGCAGTTACTTTCAGGAAAAAGTAGCGAAGTTACCGTTACAGTTACCGCAACAAAAGAGTAACTCGTTACAGTTACTTTTAAAAAGTAACGACGTTACTTTTCTATAACACAAAAAAATTAGAAAAAACTAGAAAACTCCCCCCACCAGGTCTTATTGCATAAAATTAAAAGTATGCTTTTTACTTCATATTGTAACTTAGCAGAAATTGCTTCTCGAAATTAGTGTTCGAAAATTTCCACGCCAGAGTAGTGGCGCTAATCAAAATACGAAACATGCGCAGTGCGGACTACTCGCGCTAATCAAAATACGAAACATGCGCAGTGCCCTCCGTGTGTATTGTTCTTTCACGGTTGATTAACCTGATTAAAAAGCGTTTGCGCAGAAAAAAGAAAAACCACAACATAAATAGTGCTTCAAGACACTAAGATGTAAGTTCAGTCACCAAATGCAAGTGCGTGCGTAAAGATAACTAGATTTTTTTTTCATGAAATCTACACCTGGCTATATTCGGGTCGTGACTCGTGAGAAAGAACATATTCACAAGTTCGTGCAAGGCCAACTTGACACTCGAAATGTTGGAATAGACGATTTGAAAAGTGCAAGGAAAATTTAAATTGTACTCGTTCAGTGATATATTATTCATAAAACACTGGAAAGTAACGACAAAAGTAACGTCGTTACTTTCATTGTTACCTCAGAAAAAAGTAATAGAACTGCAGTTATAAGTTGCATTTTAAAAAGGTAACTCGTTGCAGTTACAAGTTACCATAAAAGGAACGAAATTACAGTAACGCGTTACTACCCAAGACTGGTTGGGGCATTCAACTTGGACCTTACTTTTTGTCTTTCGATCATATCGGTCTACTTGTCCCTTGGGCACCGCTCCCACGAACGTAGAAAGGAGCATGACACTCTTGTTGTCTTTCCAGACTACCATGGTCACATCAACTCCATCAACGCAGACAACATTCTCCACTGTTGTCCCCCTGTCATTTCCTTTCAGTTCTTTTTCAGTAGGGAGCTTGCAGTTTGGGATGCGGTTACTCTTTACGGTGCCCAAAAAAAAGGATACCCTGTTTTGCAAGGTAGACCATAACCTTTGGTGAGGTGTAATAATTGTCAAAATAAAGCTTGTGGTTAGCGTTCCTTGGGATCTGCCTGCTGAGCCTCACGACAACGTTTCCAGTAGCACCAAGGTCTGGCTCCGCTGGTCTTCTTTTTGACGGACAGTTTTCGTGACCGGTGTAGATTTCCACGTCACAAGCGTATCCGGACACGCCACTGAGCACAAACAGCTTGTAGCCCCACTTATGGGGTTTGTTGGGCATGTACTGCTTCAAGAAATGTCGGGCTTTAGTGCTGCACATTTGTTCATCGAGTGAGAGACATTCTTCCATGGGAACAGAAAGAAATCTTCTTTTCAAGGCTCCAAAAACTGGCCTGATTTTGAAAAGCCTGTCTCGTGCTTCTTTACTCGGGTCCATTTCTTCGTTGTTGCAGAAGTGTAAGAACCGCCTTATTTTTTCAAAGATGTTCACTGACATTATAGAAGATATTGTCTTGTTTCCGAGTAATCTCGAACACTCAGCAGGTGCACCAGGGACATGTAGATGCAGATTCCCAGGAACTTTCTGACATCGCTTGGTGTCACCTCAGTTGGCTTTCCAGCGTCGACTTGCACACTGTAGAGTGAAGACTGTTCGGAGGTGAATGCTATCAGCTGGTCCATAAAAAAATATTGAAAAAACTGGTACGGTGTTTCCAGCTTCAATATCTCCAGGGGCGAAGCTTAGTTTCCTCTGAAAATTGTGCACGTTGTGGGTACAGAGGGCGCTTTTTTCTTCCACTGAAATGTTTCTCCACTTCCGGCACTAGAGCTTTCAGTGACATGAGAAACACCTGGGACTTCTTCGTCGCTACTGGCGGAATCTTCGTCCTCTTCAAGCTCGAAATCTGAATCAGCGCTTGCTTCAAAAAAAGAATATCTTGGATTTCTTCATCCGAGAGGCCATTCGTCATGTTTGCACTGCGCAGCAAAAACAACAGTTACAGCGCGTGTTTGGAAAAGAAAACAAACAAACAACCGCGATAGCGCGGGGGCCCTTTGAAGGGACCGCACCAGTTATTTTCTGAATATGTCATGCTGTAATTTACCAGAACGGTGCAGGTAGATGCATCGTCTAACTACACATCTGTGACACATCACAGTGCAATCTGTTGAGAAAGCGACACGTGCGGCTCCTTTAATGTGCCCACGATGATATAGGCAAAAATGGGTATTTTCATTGCCTCGCAAAATATTCCCACATTCCAGAGTGTCTTCCCTGTCGAAAACAAAGCGCTGCACAAGCTACTGCTGTGTACATCATCGTTATAAAATAAAACGGACCATGCCAGGCGGCAAAGCAAAAGTACAAAACACTTTCCCTAAATGCGTAACGTATCATATCTGGCACAAAGCTAGTTTCGCGTACCAGACACTGCTGACGGCAAAACCGGAGATGAACATCTGTCCGGTGAAAAGTAAAAGTGAAGCTTCTCAAATATATTTTTTTGAAGTGCCCAGCTTACCGAATGCAGCGCCGAGACGCTCTCGTTGTTGACGACTTCCCACGCAAATTGGCGCGAACGCTGAACTGGAGTATCGGCAGAACAACAGACCAGTGGCGGCACTTAGGAGCGCCTTACTGCACTAGATGGCCCGCAGTCTGTATCAGATCTGATCCGCATTCGTGTCATGTCCAACAACAGATCTGGCGACGTGTACATATTTTTGGTTTGTATCATGTGATACACCATATGCATTGTAGGGTTAAGCAAGCCAAATCCAGAAGTCGGAATTACTAAGCCAATTTTGGCTGAAATTCAGAGTATATCTGGGTGTTCATCATTTCGAAAAAGTACTAATCTGAAATCAGTCATATGATGCGAGAATAACAAACGTAAAGGTGGCTGTGGTACAGCGTTCGAAGCTATTGTGATAAGCGCACAATCCTGTTTATCTCAGTTTCACTTCACATAAATATGGCTCTTTTAGGAAAAAAAAAAAAGAACTCAAATATCGCAGTTGCCTGCGTAGGATAAAAGCACACTTTCAAAGTGGGATGGTGCATGCCTGGTGTATCTAAAAATAAATGGAAAATTTGAGAATGTCGCTATCTGCATGAATGTGAATGTTGATACCTGCTTGAATGTGAATGTTATACCAATAAACTTTTCAAGATTAAACTGTGGTTATTATACAATAGTATTTAGACACAGATGCCAACCTGCACTTATCATTTGGGATTCTTTTCATTTTTTGAATTCTTGATTGAAGGAAAGATATTTGCATATAGCAAGACTTATAAATCCCCTTGGTTAGGTACAGCTGGTCGTATCAGTACGTTCAATTTTATGACGAATTCATTGTTTTCTTACCATCACAGTGTAGGCATCCCACTTTGCTTGGGAGTGGGCAACTGGAAGCTTGGGAACAACCTTTACTAGTTCAGCTGGGTTTTCGTTTAAGTATGATGAAACAGTAGTGAAAGGGATGGAGAAACTATTCTATTAGAATAGTTTCTCAGACAATATTCTATTAGAAAATATTCAGCCAAAACCACTATTCACTTCGATCTCAAAATCTTGTGTTTGCACATGACCAGAGAGCAATGTCCAGAACCCTGAAAATTGAATAGTAGTCTGATCATCTGCAACCGGATGCATATTGTTAAAAAATGTTACATGTGTAAGCTGTGCACAGATTCAGACTGCTTGCGACCTTGGCTACATCTGGATGCGCAGTCGAAAACCTTGTAGGCGCAAGGAATGCAGCACAACCTTTGCCAGAATGGCAATCTGGTCTCCCACACCGGTCTGATCTGTTCTGTTGAGCAGTGCCACCCATGTGTGACATTTCTGGTATCCGTTTACACACACTTCGGGCTTATTTATGACCTTCGTTTCCTTCGGCGTTATACTGGCTTGGGCTCACTCGACTTGACCCCTGTATGTTGATATTTTATTTTATTTTTCTCGATCTGGAGCTCTAGCTCCAACGTGACAGAGGCCGTTGCCTGTGATATATTTTCTTGGTTTTGCTAACAAGTGCCGCGACGATGTCCCCCTTAGTACTACTACTTTTTTTTCCTTTGTATGTGTGTTTTGTTGGAATGTAGTTTTTTATGCTTAAGTGCTTTTACTTTTAATATTATATATATATTTTTCTTTCACTTTCTCCAATGTTCCTTCTCTCCTCTGGTCTCTCTAAAAATGCTTTGCAACTGTATTTTCTGCACACTTGAAGAAGGGAAGTCTCTTCCCGAAACGTCATGTAATAAAGCATCTACTGCTGTTCAAACATTTTTCTACGCTCACACATACACAAAGAAAAAATCTTAAGAGTTTCTGCCATTGCTATTATTGGAAAGAGAACTGACTGACTACATCGAAATGCACACAGGCAAATGAACCTTACAAGCATAAAGAGTGCCCAAGCCCCTTTGTTTATATCAATACTCTGGCCCAGTGGCTATAAACTCCAACCCGCGAAGGCATTTCGTTCGGACCGCGGATGGCCGCAGTCTTTTCCATAGTGCCCGGCCCGCTGTTTCCAACGCAAAAAGAAGCAGCGCTTTGAAACACATCAAAGTTTCAAACAAAGATACCGTAAATAGTAAAATAAAAGGCTCAAGATGTACCTAAACACTTCTTATGAGTTGTGAATACAAAAGCATAAATGCTGTTCTTCCGCTCCCTCAGTTTGTGTGCGGTGTGCTATGTGTCCCATATCATAACTACTGCATATTGTCATCAGATCTGTCATTCTCATTAGCCTTCTGCCCTGTGTGCTAATGTAATAGTCGCTGTGCTTTTTGATTTTTGCCTGATGAGTTTTCTGGGTCACAATTATTTTGTAACGTCATAATTAGAGCAGCCTATTGTAAAAATATTGTACATGTATTCATCCTCCCTAATTTTTTCTTGTTTATGTTCTTGCTCTTGTTTGTTTTTGTATTTACGGTATATACTTGTTAAGCTTTATTTATTTACTATTTTCTCATTCATATTGTGTATCTTATTTTCCGGCCTTCGGGACTGCGACAGATCCCCAATCCGGCTCTTCAAAGGGGAGCTCCGGCGTCACTTTGAACGTTTTCGACAAAACATTTTTTCTGAAAGAGTGCAAGAAACAGCTAGAGCAGCAAAACAATTTCCCAGAAAGTTTGAAAATAATTTTTAATTGTAGAACTGTGAAACCATTGCAGGTTAGTTTGTTGTATAGAAACTAACCTTCGAGGTTAGTTTCAATAAAACTTAAACTATGCTGCAATTTTTTTCTGGTTTGCCATCTTGTTCTGACGTAAAATGAATGAATCCCCTTTTATATGAATTATAATCATTATTCTTGTCCAGCTCGCTTGCACCTTTGCATTAATTGCATTATCATCATAACCTTAAAATGCAGGCCATTCACCCTTGTTGGTGTTAGACTGGTGGCAGCTGATAAAACCAGTTTGCTCTACCGACATGCAACTCCTGGTTAGCTTAGTTGGTAGGGTGGTCCACTGGAAATGGAGAGGTCTCTGGTTCGATACCAGGACCAGGCGGATTTTTTCAGTCGCACACCAGTCACCTAGCTGTGTTTAGAGATTTGTGTTTGTCCTTTGTCCCCTTTGTTCCTCTTCTCCAGGGACTATCGTCATTTTTGTAGATGTGGTCGAGGTGAGAGGGGACCTAGACTGGTTCACTTATGACCTCCGAAGATACGTAGACACCCAAATATTTGTAAGGAACAACGTTTTCAAGGGGGTTATTTAGTAGGTGGTAAGTAGGGCACGCTTCAACGTTATGTGATATTTTCATCGCCTTACACTTGTTAATATTTAGTTTCATCTGCGATATCACACCAAGAGGAAACGGCATTAATGTCAGACAGCATAATCTCAACATCAGAATTGTTGTTAATTTTACAATAACGAACACAATCATCGGTAAAAAGGCTTTTGGAAGAGGAGACATGAGTTGGTAAGTCATGGTTGGTGGGTTGGTTGGTGGGTCTTAAGATTAGAAATAACAAGAGGACCAAGTGCATATCCTTACGGCACACCAGAGTTAACGGCAACAGAGTTGAGTTACTGTCGATCATTTACGGTTACAAATTGCAGTCTGTTAGTCAAACACTAACCAAGATAAAATATTTGAGTCAATACTGAACAGGCTAAGTTTGTACAGTAACAGTTAACGGGATACTTTATCGAATACTTTTGAGAAGTCAAGGAATATGCAATCAGTTCGACGCCTGTGATCTAGTGTTGAGTTGATGTTATGGGTGAAGACTAAAATTTGGGTGTGGCGTGAAAATGATTTTAGAAGTCTATGTTGATGAGCGCTGAAAAAAAAAAAGAGTTGGACGCCAAGAAATGCGATAGCTGTGAAGGAATAACATGCTCCATGAGTTTGCAGGTTACGTTGGTAGGAGGCTGAAACGGTCAATGGCTTTGTGAATTGGAACAACCTTTCCCACCTTCCAGTCCTTTGGAAGGACACCCCGATTTAAAGATAGCTGAAGCAGTGGCGACAAGATTGACGAGTACATTTTTGGTGTTTTTAAGAAATTTTGCACTTATGTTGTTAGTGCCCGATGGTAACGACACTTGAGTCCCTCAATAATTTTCATAATGAATGAAATTAAGTGAAATATTGGATGGGTAAAAAATAATGGGGAACAATGGTGGGAAATTGTTAGAACTAGGGGGTAGTTGACGCATGTAAGATCACTAAAAGCGCTGACAAAATATTCATTTAAGATAGCCACACAGTCTTCGTAAACCACCCCACCATCATTTTTGAGTAGTATTGTGTGTTTATCATGTGGATTTATAATTTTCCAGAACTGCCTCCGGTTGTTAATTAGCATGGAAGGTAGGTTGGTATGAAAAAGGTGTCTTTAGCCTCTGTCAGGGCCATATTATTCATTTCTGGTGCTCTCCGGTATGCTACCCAATGGTCGGGGGAAGTTGAAAATTTGGCTCCTCTAAATAACTGTTTTTTTCTTATTTAGCAGTCTTTTCAAAGCAGTAGTAAACCAGGGTGATTTTAAGTTTGATTTTATTATACGGGTGGGAATGTATTTTCCATTCGGTGATGTTATTTACCTTTGAACAAGCACCAGTTTCCTTCGACACTTATATTATACATGACGCAGCATATCACACGCCTGCGTCATCGTCAAAGCGTGGAGAAAACGCACGCTGTAATAAGCGTATACAAACACAAGGGTGCCCATGCATCACATCGTTATCTGATATCGTTATCGGAGCTAAAAATCGATCGAATAAATTCACCAGGCGAATTGAGTAGTGCAAGGAAACCCAACGTGCTGCTTCATGTATAATTACGCATATATGAATCGCAGTTGTGAATCGAAAGAAATTGCCCGATGCGTTGAGTAGATAATGCAGGTTGCGCCTAGTACACTGCGCCAATTAGCTGCGCACTGTTCATAACTGTGGAATTTGCTTGAAGATTTGAGGAAATTTATCCTTGGTGTCTAAAATCCCAAAGAGAGAGATCTCGGTCGGCTTCAGTTACCAAAAGGAACAGTCCAAAAGGAACTAAGTCGAAAAAAGGAAACATTTCAGCTTGGGGGCTAAACTCTTTATTTAAAAAAAAACTATTTCTGTTTGTACAAATAAACCAAAATAAACCAGGGTTCTTACCCTACTAGTCGTCCATGGATAGCTGGCGAATGGGCGCAGTAAAGACACCAACCAAATGGGAAGCACTTTCCTGGGCTCTTTGTGTTGCACTGGCACTTGCACTCGTGTTTGCAGCGACCCCGCGGCACTCCATGCACGTCTAGTGCTGTAAGCATGGCACACTGTGCCCGAAATCACACGCCGTCTCCCGCCAAGTCTCGCCAGTCGCAATCAAAGTCAAGCTGGTCCAGCCACGAACAAAGCGTGTCGGGAACTGACTGAGCGAGCCGCGAGCCACAGAAACAGCGCAACGGCTTTCTCGCTTTTACCGCCAAAAGGTAGGGAGCCAAGTCGGCGAGTATGTAGGCTCCCTACCAAAAAGTAGAGTAACTGTATAGGCTCTGCTTGTAGAGCTCCGCAAGCGGAGCATATACAGTTACTCTACCAAAAAGAGGACGCATGCGCCCTCTGTGCATCCAGAAACAAAGCTTACATCAACATGTAATCAACAAAAAAGCACGCGCAGGTGCATCTTCGGGAGGGTCAATCCATTCGGATATATAGACGCTCTGCAGCAGCTGTGCATGGACGCCGCCATAACTGACCTTCAGTTTTTGTTTCCTCTTATTTCGTTTATTTCACTTCATCTTTACCATAGCAGGCCAGGTTATTGCCACATTAGATTCAACTGTGTCCTTTTCTAAAGCATTGGCCTTTGTAGAGGATCGTTAACTACCGTTTCAGTTGCTCCGCATCTCGGTAAGAAGAGAAGGTCAGCAATGGCGGCTGTAATTTGGCGCGTGTGTAAAGCGTCTATATTAGCGTGACGATGGACGGACGGGACCAACCTTGTTTGTCTTGTCCGAAAAAAAAAAGGCCGAGCGGGATTCCTCAAACTGCTCTAACGCTTGGACAAAAAAAAACAAAAAACAAGTGCTTATTCTTGATTACGTGGCGCTTAAAACGTCATTCCTGTCGCATTGACGGCGGTTCCACGCTTGAAACTCGCGGTTGGCGTGAGGTTCAGCGTGATAGTTTTTAGAGTGTATCGTTCTCTTTTTTTTTTTCCCCTCCGGTCCGGGCGTTGCGCGGAGTGCGCTTCTTCGAGCTGCTACCACCGCTACTTCGGCTTGTGATCGGCGTGTTTAGCCGTTGCTTTTGTAGCTTCGGTGTAGCCTTTTGTTTATTTGTTTGTGAGGACTCCAAGACTCGTTTTAGCGAGCAACTCAGTGCACTCAAGACTGCCCAGCTGTTCCTCGAAACATGCCGAGTACAACTTGTAGCGCTGTGGGCTGCTCGAACAACCCGCTGCACAACCCGGAGGTGCTTTTTCACAAGTTTCCAACGGACCGAAAATTGGAGAAAGATTGGGTGAACGCTGTTCGACAAGTGGACTTTGGAAAGCCTTGGACGCTGACGCCCAGATCAAAGCTCTGCTCTGATCATTTTTCGCCGGAGAGTTACGAACGAAACCTACGGGTGTTGGTTGCCTGTGGCTTGTCAGCGAAGGGCTCGAGGATTAAAAAGGATGCCGTGCCGTCGCTCTTTGCCCCCCGTCCGCCCAGTACTGTACGTCACTGGCAGCGCGGCGTAGAGCAACGCCGCTCCATCCACGGAGCCCGATGACAATTTAGGCCTAGCGACAAGTACGGAAGGCCGCACGCACGGCGACAGCCGCCGAGTACGGCACCGAACGAGTTCACTCGTTTTTCAGTCGCTAGCTTTTGGGTACACAAGCGACGAGTACGGCATAGCACACGCACGGCGGCGGCCGCCGAGTACGGCACCGAACGAGTTCACGGGTTTTCCAGTCGCTAGCTTTTGGGTAGACGCACTAACGTTTGCTACATATGCTGGATAACAACCACGTACACAGAATTAAAACAAAATCAGCTTACCTTCTATCTTTAGACGACTAGCGCAACAGAGGTAGGTGCCGCTCGGCCTGCGTACCCGTTGAACGAGAACGATCCTGACGTCACGATCCACATAGCGGCTGATTTCCAGTGTTGCCGGGGCCTCGAGCGACTAGTTTCGCTTTTGTTCTCCGCAACCCAAACAAAACTTTGAGGCGTCGATATCTTTAAAACTACGCACAACGAGAAAAAAATTACACCTTGCAATCCAGGGACGCTGACTGCGCTAAAAACAGTCCCAATCTCAATATCGAAAGTATGGGGCGGAGTTGCCCTTTAAGTCAGAAATAGTGTGATTTAGCTCAGCAACACTAGCCTCGTAAGCCTGGAAGGACTTTGCCGTGTTATTGACCTCATCAATGGTGGCCTCAATAGCACATAGTCGCTTATTCACACCTACAAACATTTCCTTAACGCTTTGTTGTTCCTTTCGCATTTCTTTGATGTCCTTGGCAATGTGCTTCTGGCTTTTTAAAATCTGCTGAATGGGATCCTGTGTATCAGCTTTACTAGCTTTATCAGGGCCGGGGTTAGTTTCCACGTCTCCGGCCAGTAATAACAACTTTACCATGCGAACACATTCTACAAGGATGCGAAGAACAGTGCCGGGGCATGGCAGCACAATAAGGCAAACATAATTACTCTTAAACTCGTAATAAATTGGCTTATTGTCATGCATGTGGCATGCACGAGGCAGCGGATTCAGCGCGCGCCGTCGCCGACGGGTTATCGTGCTTTGTGATTGTTATATTTTTGTTACCCGTGGTGTGCGCTGATTGGTGCGACGAGAAAAAGACGAAGTGACAACGAAAGGACCGAGGCTGGAGGCGGTGCACGAGGAGAGAAAAGGAACGCGGTGCGCTGGAGCTGGTGCAAGCACGACTTCGAACCGGAATAAAACGCTTTCCCCCCAAAAGGCTGGCTCCCTGCCTTCCCGGGTCCCACGGCGCCCAAACCACAAGCCGTGACTGGCGCAGCCGACAGCGGGAGTTCAGCTACGGAACCTTGGGATGAGCGGCCAGCTCCAACACCGCACAGACGTCGCCGAGTTCAAGTAAGCCCGGATTTTTGCCTGCCACAACCGACGGAGCGGTGGGTCCGGCATACTACACGGACGTTGCCAGTTCAAGCAAGCCAGGCTTTTCGTCTACCATATGCGACGGAGCGGCGAGTCCGGAGCACAGCACGAACGGTGCTGACAGCAAGCAAACTCGGCTTTTCGGCGGCCATGCAACCGGACGCCAGGCGAGCGCTTGGCGTGACCAGTGGGACGGACGCTGCATGACGCAGCCTCAGCGCAAGAACCAACGGCGGAAAACAAGACTTCCAGTCTTCGAGAGGGACAGGAACTACAGCCTGCAAGCGGTAGAATCCGGATTTCAGTGATGCACGGACCCTGAGACATTCCAGTGAGGCACTTCCGCTGCCAGTGCTTCTGACTGCCCATCGACGACGAAGAGCTGATCAACCTGAATTGGTGAGCGCATATGCTTGTCTATTTGGGTTGAATGATCACTCGAGCCATGGCGAAGAGCTATGAGTCGGGCAAAGGGGAGGGTAAAATGCCTGATAAACTTAAGGAGCCTGATGACGCATCAGAGGATGAGGGGAGAACTGATTCTGAAGTGATGAACACTCGGTTGGAAATTGAAAAAATAAAGCTCGAACAAATACGGGCACAAATTGAGCTCCAAAAATTGCAGAAGGAAAATGGTGGTGGTGCAGATGGGGGGCTGGGATTACAACCAGAATCTGGGGTAGCCCACTATGCTGCACTCTTGACTAATGTGCTCAGCCGGATGCCCGGGGACAAAACCTTGGTGCCTGGCTGGTTTGAGGCGGTAGAAGTCATATTTCGATCCTTTCAGGTCCCTGACGAAATAAAAACTGTTCTGATAATGCCGTATATAGCTGACAGGGTCAGGTCAGCGATCATGTGCAGTGGCATGAAGGAACTGCCATCCTACGCTCAGCTAAAAGAACGAATTTTACGTGAGCTAAGATTATCTCCAAACGAATACAAACGACTATTCACAACGGCAGGCAAATTGCGGGAAGAGTCCTGGAGCCAGTTCGCCGGCCGACTTAATAGCTACTTCAGTTATTATGTGAACAGTAGAAAAGTGGATACTTACGATGACCTGTTGCAACTAGTTGTCGCGGATAGGTTGAAGGAGTCCCTCCCTAATGAAATAAAAGCATATGTTGCCTTGAACGAAACGGGGGAGTGGCTGCGTCCTGAGGCGATAGCTAAGCTCGCTGAATGCCATCAGGAGAGTAATGCACAGAGGGTCCCAAAACCCTATCACAAGACAGACACTACTGGTGACTCTAGTCAGAGCGAGTCTATGACGCCTCCGAAAGAGAGAGGTCATACTGAGTATGTCGGCGACACTCGACGCTGTTTCGCTTGTGGGAAACAGGGTCATCTGGCAAGAAATTGCCCTGAGACCAATCCTAAGCTAACGGCACGAGTAAAAAGACCTTTAGACTGCGAACACGCCGAGCAATCAATCGAGGTACATGATGAACTAGTATCACTGACTGAACAACACGAAGTGCTTGACGAAGAACGATTTGTGCAACTCCGCTCAGGAGACAAGCGCTTGAATGCTAGGGTCGATTCGGGGGCAGACATTACAGTGGTTCGAAGGTCGATGGCCACCATTTTGGACGAGAATCAAAAAGGGAAGGTTCGGTTGAAGGGCGCTTTCGGCCACGAGGTGGAGGCCGATCTCATGTATGTCCCGTTTCGACTTGGTAGCAGGGCGTTTGATACTGGAGTGGATACTTTACTGCTCTGTGCTGTAACCGAGCAGCTTGCCGGAGAAGTTGACGCGCTACTCACACCTGAGGATTTAGTAGCTTTAAGAGAAGTAGAACAGAAAGTGCCCTTAGTAGATCAGGTGGATCTTCCCTGTGACGCTGCAGTATTGAAGGAAGGGCTGGTGATAGAGGCATGCGTGGCGAGCACCCAGTCGGAGGGTGAAAACGGGATTGTAGAGTCTGTGGACGAGCGAAGTGACGTAAACGAAATAGAATCTGAAGGTTGCCTTCAGTTTCGAACAGAGCAAAAGAACGACGAGTCGCTGAAGCCCTTGTGGCTACAGGCAAAAAAAGGGACTCATGGAATGCAAGTGGTTGATGGAATGCTGTTCCATAAAGAAAAAATAAATGGCAGAATTGTCAAACAGCTAGTTTTACCGGAAAGCAGGCGGAAGACAGTGTTAGAAGTAGCCCACGACAAACCAGTTGGCGGGCATTTCGCTGGAAAGAAAACGCAACAGCGAATTAAGAATTCATTTTACTGGCCGAACATGCAGGAGCAGATTAGTAAATACTGCAAAGATTGCCATTACTGCCAGTTGAACGCGAGACCTAGAACCAGAGACCGTGTGCCTATTACCCCGCTAGTAAGACCAGATGTTCCATTCCAGACAGTTGTAATGGATTGTATTGGACCGTTAGACCCGGCGTCGTCGAGGGGGCACAAATATGCCTTGTGTCTGGTTGATGTGTGCACGAGATGGCCAGAAGTGGTTTGTATCAGATCGCTAACGGCGAAGGCAGTGTGTGACGCGCTGGTTGAAATATTCGCGCGAATGGGAGTGCCAGAAACAGTCTCGTCCGATCAGGGCACAAACTTCACGGCCGAGCTCACACAGGAGTTGCTGCATAGGTTGGGGTCGTCACCCAGGTTCTCTACACCAGAACACCCAGAGAGCAATGGGCTAGTTGAGCGAAGGAATGGTACGCTGAAGCGGATGTTGAGGCAAGAGGACCGAAGCGCTCAAGTTTCGCCGCCGACTACAGCGCCATTCCAGCCCCTGGCGGGACGCCCGAGTCCGAGTGGCTCGTTGTTTTTCGCCTCGCTTCTCCGTCGTAGGCGGTCGGATATAACATTCATTGCGATAGAGACGATATAAAAGCCCGGCTAGCACGAATATTTCGTCGTTGATCGCAGCAACCATCTCCGATGTTGTTGTAGTCGATCCTTAAAATTCTACCGCTTCCCTGAAAAGCCGTGCGAGACTCGAACGGCGCCAAGCCTGGACCACGTCGGTGCTCCGACAAAAGTAAGTTTCTCGTTCGTTGGAAGATCAGTTTTGCTAAATACGCGGGAAAAACTAAATAGAATTGGTGTCAGAATAGAAGCAGAATCACTACCGAACGCGGGAAAGTCAGTTGGCAGTGCCTGCGTGACGGAATATCTGATTTTTGTGCGCGTCTGTCGCTTCCCTCGAGGTGTTTGACGGGGCTTCGGTCGCGATGTTGGATCCCTTTGGCACGAATATTTCAACTACAATCACTGGCAGGGTGAGAACGGCAGGGAGAAGCTTCAGTTCCTCCAGCACTAGCTTCGAACCGTCGACAGGGTTTCTATCTCGCGACCGTCGCGCGTTCACGTGCAGCCACATCGCAACGAAGGGCAACGAAGACGTGCTGGAGATCGGCCGTTCACAAGAGACGCCCTGCCTGCCGTTCTGACTTTGTCAGAACACTTCTAGCTAGGGGAGGGGCTTTTGGGGGTTGCGATTGCAGCTTTCTTCTGCCGTGTGTTTCTTAATCGCTGTTCCCGTTTTTTTTAGCTGTTTATGGCCATCATGTACGACGCTATAATATACACATGCATTCCCCCCCCCCCTCCCAAACAACACACACAAGGAATGCACTTCCAAACAGCCTCAACCAGCCAGCCCCCCCCCCCCCCCTTTCCTTTTTAAAATAAAAAGAAAGCCTGATTATGTTTACATAATCGTAATCATAATAATTTACAATAACAGTTTTTATTATTTTGTGTCGATTTTCTGCTGATCACACCAGAGATCTTATATTATTGACTTATTTTTCAGTGGGGGCGGTTCAGTTTTGATTCCGCCAACGTCAGCGAGGATCTGCAGCGTGCACTTCGTGAACACCTGCAAGGACAACGATGAGGCTCATCCTGCAACAAGTCACTAGACGAGATGCCAGCTGAGGTGTTTAATAAAGACTAATTGCAGGAAACCTACCAACCCTGTAATTGCTCGTGAAAGATTCTTAGTTAATTTAAATTAATTTTCACTCCCTCGCTCGAAGATGCAGGTGACCTTTCCTCATCTATGTTGCAATCTCTATGTGTGCCCGGTTCTTAGCCAGTTAAAAGTATTGTTCGTTCATTGGCAACTTCTGTAGTCTCTTTCGTCTTCGAGTTGCACGTTTTGGTTTAGTCTGTACCCCAAGATTCAATATAGCTTGGCTAAAGATGGATAAGCTTAGGTGACTACTGCTTTCTCACGAACTGGGAGACATCTTTCGTGAGATCTGGAATATCTTGAACAGCTGATCTGCCGTGCAAGATCTCTGAAATAGTCGGGGTTCTCGGCCCTACAATTTCTTGGACAGTCCTTGCTTCTCGAGATGTGTACATCATCTGCAAGTGTCCTGCCAGCCATACTTCGAGTCTGCGCCAATGTCACCGTGTTGAGAGCACGAGAAGAATTTTTATATTGTCACAAGGTTGTGTGTTTACCTACTCGTGGTTGTGACAAAACTCAATAAAAATCGTTTTCACTGTCAACAAAACATTTCTGAAAGTGATGCATTATGCTGCTGTACCATATTTTCCAGACTATAGTCCACAGGGGCAAATTTGGGGTAAAAAATAGATTTTGCTTACATTGTACGCATACAGTGCATCGTCTGCACCTGGTGCTTAGTTGTCACGAATATCCTCTCATAGACAGCACACCTTGAGAAATGTCTGCTTTCTTAACGCAAAAAGAAGCTGGTATTTTACATAAATTATCATTAACATACCCTTTCATTCACAAAATCCGTCTCGTCATAATCAACGATATTGAAAAACAAAAATCCCGCATAGTCCGCACAGCCTAAAATTTTCATTTTTAAAAGCATAGCCCGGAAAATACGGTACATTCCTGGAAACGCTTGAAAACATGCCAACATGCCACAAAAGAAACTTTATTCAGTGAAGCAGCAATGAAACACTGACAGGCATGGATTATTTTTCCAGAAAATAAAAATTGTTCTACTAATGACAACCTATTATGTGTCACTGGTGTTTTCTTTGCTACACAACATTTTCCTCCTAAAATGTCCCACACAGTAAAGTATGAATCAAACCCCCACCCAATATTTGAAACTCTTGCATGTGGACTGGACAACTTGAACCTGAAAGAGAAATTAAGTTTTTTTTATAAATCCATCCAACTGAACATTGTCATGAAAATTCGTCTAAAATTATGTGCAGTCATATGCATAGCAGACATTTATGCTGGAGATTTAGTCTAGGCTAGCCTCTTTTCGTTTTCAACTGTTTTGCCCCCCTTTCTAACAGAATCTCGCGGCACATTATTGTTCAAACTCGCAGAAAAAGTATCATTAATCAGCAGGAGCAGGTCCCCAGTAACTGCAACCTACTGCCTCAGTGAAGTGGGACGAGAAAACCTGGTAATAAATCTACGAGGCCTTTGTTCAGGTCGTGCCCTGGCGTTTTAGTTCCCTACTGCTGAGGCAGGCTGATGAGGACGCGTGTTCAACAATACTAATAAAATTACGAGCGTCGGCACAATGCTCGCACCGGTCCGCGACTCCAGCCCAGCGAGGACCTGCAGTCTCAACTGTACGCGGGGGACTTATCTCTTCCCGGAATTATCACCCTATGCCCGCACGATCCCCGACACGTTAATATTTCTTCGACGTGGGCGAGCCCGAAAAGCTATCCCACTCGTAGCCTCTAGTGCGAGAACGTAGTCTGCCGGTGGTTCAGCGACCGAAAAATAGTATCCCGACGTCGTCTAACAGGACTCACGAGAACAGTGGTTCATTGTGATCAGTAATCTTTAAGGCACAATGTTATTACAGCGCAAAATTTAAACAAGTGCCGCTCACCTGTAAAGTTATCTCGTAGACGCCGCACGGCCGGCACGGCCGTACTTGCGATGCGGACCCGACTCGTTGGCGGGGAAATCAACCGCTTTCTCGGTGGAAGATGCGTGTTATTGAAGCTTTTCTATCGTTTCTTGACTCACCATGAGAAATATTTCTCGCACGTTTTCTATCCTTCTCGAAATCTTCACCGTACGCTCGAAATACCTGCGACGCCAAAGCAACGCTACAAGCACGACCGGCGCGACACGACCATGTGTTGTACTGCGGTGGCGCTACCGTCGCAATTTCGAAGCGCCCCCTGGTTGGGCGAATCGATTCTAGTGATAGCGGAACATGGGCGGGGCTGGGATCGCCTAGTTCCTTGTCTACTTTGGGCCTACCGCGAAGTCCCGAATGAAACTACGGGGATGTCGCCATTTGAACTCATGTATGGACGTGCGCCGAATGGTCCACTGTCCATCCTAAAAAAATCGTGGACTGGTGATTGGACGCCCCCGTCCACGCTCGTTGAGTCGGCGGACAAATATCTGGTTAGATTAAGAAAACAAATGGCCGACATGACGCGAGTAGTAAAGGAACAGGCAGAGCACAAACAGAGGTCGTACGCCACGCGTTACAATCTCCGTGCGAAAGAGAAGGCCTTTTGTAGGGGCGATCTAGTGCTACTAAGGGACACGAGTGGTAAAAAGATGAACTTTCCTTGGTTGGGACCAGCGAAAATACTAGAGGTTAGGAGAAAGAACAGCTACGTAGTTGAGATGCCTGACGGTGGCCGTAAGTGGATCCACGCCAACAAACTTAGGCCATATGTGGCACGCGTTGACGCTGTTGGTGTTATCTTTGATGATCCGGACTTCGGTTCGGTGGAGGAACTCCCCACAGACGGGAGGGGAGCAGGTGAACCTGAATCACAGAAAACCGCGGAGGAAAAAGAGATGTACAGCATGGTACAGCAGTTCGTACATGTCTTTTCTAAGCGCCCAGGAAAGTGTGCAAAAGGACTGCACAAGATAAGACTTGTTGAAGGCTCGCAACAAAAGAAGAGATATGCTTATAGGGTGCCGATAAAACTGAGAGCTGAGGTTGAAAGGCAGATAGAACAGCTTCTAGAATGGGGTATGATCTATCCAGTTGAATCAGAGTTTGCTCATCCGGTAGTGTGTGTAGCGAAGAAGGATGGGAGTGTGAGATTGTGCATCGATTATAGGCAATTAAACGCGATCACTGAAGTCGATGCCTTTCCAATGAATAATGCTACCGAAATGATCTGGATGGTCGCGAAGGCGTCGTACATAACAGTACTGGACCTAACCCGTGGGTATTGGCAAATACCAGTCGAAGAACGGTCTCAGAAGTTCACAGCGTTCGTAACCAATCGTGGGCAGTACGCATGGAAAGTTATGCCCTATGGGTTGAAAAATTCAGCGGCAACTTTTCAGCGTGTGATGAATGAAGTGTTGCGACCACACAGAGAATATGCAGGCGCATATATCGATGACATTGCAATATATTCTTCTAAGTGGGAAGACCACCTTTTGCATGTAAAAGGCGTTCTCGAAACCTTAAGTCGCGTGGGGCTTACGGTGAAGCTGTCCAAATGCAGGTTTGCCCAGGGAATGGTGATGTACCTCGGCCACCAGATCGGCTCTGGGAGGCATGCTCCTGACCCCGTTCGTATCAAGGCGATTCAGATCATGGAGAGGCCAAAGACGAAGAAAGAACTGAAGAGCTTTTTAGGGCTAATGAACTACTATAGAGACTACATTGCGAACTATGCTGAAGTGGTGTTGCCGTTGACCGCTCGAACTGGAGACAGGACACCGAACGTGTTACCGTGGGGTGACGAGGAGGAACAAGCGTTTCAAAAGGCAAAGTGTCTCCTGATGGAAGTCCCAGTCATGAGAGCGCCAGATGCCAGCCAGCCTTTTGTTCTGTCTACCGACGCATCGGATAGAGCTATAGGGGCATGTCTTGCCCAAAGGGCAGGTGATGGGAAAGAGTACCCGGTGGCGTTTCTCAGTAAAAAACTAACTGATCCCCAAACCCGGTGGGCTGTAATCGAACGCGAAGCTTACGCGATTGTGTGGGCCTTGGGTCAGTTGGAAACGTGGCTATTTGGGGCGGAGGTCGAAATTCGCACCGACCATAACCCTTTGCAGTATTTGGCGTCAGCAGCACCAAATAGTGCGAGGCTGACTCGTTGGGTGCTAGCGTTGCAAAAATTTAACCTGAATGTCCAGTACGTAAAAGGGACGAGAAATGTCCCTGCTGATGCGTTGTCAAGGCTGTAGCCGGGTGGAGTTTTGTTTGTGGTTAAGGTACTTTAGATGTTCTCAAGAAGTTTGTCAGTCTTTCTAGTGATCATTCACGCCGAATGGATGGGAATGTGCGCGCAGTTCGTTTTCTTTTGTTCTAAATGTTACGATTGTAAAGGAATACACAAATTGTAATTTTTTTATTGGAAAAGAAAAAATTACAATTTGTGTATTCCTTTACAATCGTAACATTTAGAACAAAAGAAAACGAACTGCGCGCACATTCCCATCCATTCGGCGTGAATGATCACTAGAAAGACTGACAAACTTCTTGAGAACATCTAAAGTACCTTAACCACAAACAAAACTCCACCCGGCTACAGCCTTGACAACGCATCAGCAGCGACATTTCTCGTGCCTTTTACGTACCGGACATTCAGGTTAAATTTTTGCAACGCTAGCACCCAACGAGTCATCCTCGCACTATTTGGTGCTGCTGACGCCAAATACTGCAAAGGGTTATGGTCGGTGTGAATTTCGACCTCCGCCCCAAATAGCCACGTTTCCAACTGACCCAAGGCCCACACAATCGCGTAAGCTTCGCGTTCGATTACAGCCCACCGGGTTTGGGGATCAGTTAGTTTTTTTACTGAGAAACGCCACCGGGTACTCTTTCCCATCACCTGCCCTTTGGGCAAGACATGCCCCAATAGCTCTATCCGATGCGTCGGTGGACAGAACAAAAGGCTGGCTGGCATCTGGCGCTTTCATGACTGGGACTTCCATCAGCAGACACTGCCTTTTGAAACGCTTGTTCCTCCTCGTCACCCCACGGTAACACGTTCGGAGTCCTGTCTCCAGTTCGCGCGGTCAACGGCAACACCACTTCAGCATAGTTCGCAATGTAGTCTCTATAGTAGTTCATTAGCCCTAAAAAGCTCTTCAGTTCTTTCTTAGTCTTTGGCCTCTCCATGATCTGAATCGCCTTGATACGAACGGGATCAGGAGCATGCCTCCCACAGCCAATCTGGTGGCCGAGGTACATGACCATTCCCTGGGCAAACCTACATTTGGACAGCTTCACCGTAAGCCCCACGCGACTTAAGGTTTCGAGAACGCTTTTTACATGCAAAAGGTGGTCTTCCCACTTAGAAGAATATATTGCAATGTCATCGATATATGCGCCTGCATATTCTCTGTGGGGTCGCAACACTTCATTCATCACGCGCTGAAAAGTTGCCGCTGAATTTTTCAACCCATAGGGCATAACTTTCCATGCGTATTGCCCACGATTGGTTACGAATGCCGTAAACTTCTGAGACCGTTCTTCGACTGGTATTTGCCAATACCCACGGGTTAGGTCTAGTACTGTTATGTACGACGCCTTCGCGACCATCCAGATCATTTCGGTAGCATTATTCATTGGAAAGGCATCGACTTCAGTGATCGCGTTTAATTGCCTATAATCGATGCACAATCTCACACTCCCATCCTTCTTCGCTACACACACTACCGGATGAGCAAACTCTGATTCAACTGGATAGATCATACCCCATTCTAGAAGCTGTTCTATCTGCCTTTCAACCTCAGCTCTCAGTTTTATCGGCACCCTATAAGCATATCTCTTCTTTTGTTGCGAGCCTTCAACAAGTCTTATCTTGTGCAGTCCTTTTGCACACTTTCCTGGGCGCTTAGAAAAGACATGTACGAACTGCTGTACCATGCTGTACATCTCTTTTTCCTCCGCGGTTTTCTGTGATTCAGGTTCACCTGCTCCCCTCCCGTCTGTGGGGAGTTCCTCCACCGAACCGAAGTCCGGATCATCAAAGATAACACCAACAGCGTCAACGCGTGCCACATATGGCCTAAGTTTGTTGGCGTGGATCCACTTACGGCCACCGTCAGGCATCTCAACTACGTAGCTGTTCTTTCTCCTAACCTCTAGTATTTTCGCTGGTCCCAACCAAGGAAAGTTCATCTTTTTACCACTCGTGTCCCTTAGTAGCACTAGATCGCCCCTACAAAAGGCCTTCTCTTTCGCACGGAGATTGTAACGCGTGGCGTACGACCTCTGTTTGTGCTCTGCCTGTTCCTTTACTACTCGCGTCATGTCGGCCATTTGTTTTCTTAATCTAACCAGATATTTGTCCGCCGACTCAACGAGCGTGGACGGGGGTGTCCAATCACCAGTCCACGATTTTTTTAGGATGGACAGTGGACCATTCGGCGCACGTCCATACATGAGTTCAAATGGCGACATCCCTGTAGTTTCATTCGGGACTTCGCGGTAGGCCCAAAGTAGACAAGGAACTAGGCGATCCCAGCCCCGCCCATGTTCCGCTATCACTTGCCTCAACATCCGCTTCAGCGTACCATTCCATCGCTCAACTAGCCCATTGCTCTCTGGGTGTTCTGGTGTAGAGAACCTGGGTGACGACCCCAACCTATGCAGCAACTCCTGTGTGAGCTCGGCCGTGAAGTTTGTGCCCTGATCGGACGAGACTGTTTCTGGCACTCCCATTCGCGCGAATATTTCAACCAGCGCGTCACACACTGCCTTCGCCGTTAGCGATCTGATACAAACCACTTCTGGCCATCTCGTGCACACATCAACCAGACACAAGGCATATTTGTGCTCCTCGACGACGCCGGGTCTAACGGTCCAATACAATCCATTACAACTGTCTGGAATGGAACATCTGGTCTTACTAGCGGGGTAATAGGCACACGGTCTCTGGTTCTAGGTCTCGCGTTCAACTGGCAGTAATGGCAATCTTTGCAGTATTTACTAATCTGCTCCTGCATGTTCGGCCAGTAAAATGAATTCTTAATTCGCTGTTGCGTTTTCTTTCCAGCGAAATGCCCGCCAACTGGTTTGTCGTGGGCTACTTCTAACACTGTCTTCCGCCTGCTTTCCGGTAAAACTAGCTGCTTGACAATTCTGCCATTTATTTTTTCTTTATGGAACAGCATTCCATCAACCACTTGCATTCCATGAGTCCCTTTTTTTGCCTGTAGCCACAAGGGCTTCAGCGACTCGTCGTTCTTTTGCTCTGTTCGAAACTGAAGGCAACCTTCAGATTCTATTTCGTTTACGTCACTTCGCTCGTCCACAGACTCTACAATCCCGTTTTCACCCTCCGACTGGGTGCTCGCCACGCATGCCTCTATCACCAGCCCTTCCTTCAATACTGCAGCGTCACAGGGAAGATCCACCTGATCTACTAAGGGCACTTTCTGTTCTACTTCTCTTAAAGCTACTAAATCCTCAGGTGTGAGTAGCGCGTCAACTTCTCCGGCAAGCTGCTCGGTTACAGCACAGAGCAGTAAAGTATCCACTCCAGTATCAAACGCCCTGCTACCAAGTCGAAACGGGACATACATGAGATCGGCCTCCACCTCGTGGCCGAAAGCGCCCTTCAACCGAACCTTCCCTTTTTGATTCTCGTCCAAAATGGTGGCCATCGACCTTCGAACCACTGTAATGTCTGCCCCCGAATCGACCCTAGCATTCAAGCGCTTGTCTCCTGAGCGGAGTTGCACAAATCGTTCTTCGTCAAGCACTTCGTGTTGTTCAGTCAGTGATACTAGTTCATCATGTACCTCGATTGACTGCTCGGCGTGTTCGCAGTCTAAAGGTCTTTTTACTCGTGCCGTTAGCTTAGGATTGGTCTCAGGGCAATTTCTTGCCAGATGACCCTGTTTCCCACAAGCGAAACAGCGTCGAGTGTCGCCGACATACTCAGTATGACCTCTCTCTTTCGGAGGCGTCATAGACTCGCTCTGACTAGAGTCACCAGTAGTGTCTGTCTTGTGATAGGGTTTTGGGACCCTCTGTGCATTACTCTCCTGATGGCATTCAGCGAGCTTAGCTATCGCCTCGGGACGCAGCCACTCCCCCGTTTCGTTCAAGGCAACATATGCTTTTATTTCATTAGGGAGGGACTCCTTCAACCTATCCGCGACAACTAGTTGCAACAGGTCATCGTAAGTATCCACTTTTCTACTGTTCACATAATAACTGAAGTAGCTATTAAGTCGGCCGGCGAACTGGCTCCAGGACTCTTCCCGCAATTTGCCTGCCGTTGTGAATAGTCGTTTGTATTCGTTTGGAGATAATCTTAGCTCACGTAAAATTCGTTCTTTTAGCTGAGCGTAAGATGGCAGTTCCTTCATGCCACTGCACATGATCGCTGACCTGACCCTGTCAGCTATATACGGCATTATCAGAACAGTTTTTATTTCGTCAGGGACCTGAAAGGATCGAAATATGACTTCTACCGCCTCAAACCAGCCAGGCACCAAGGTTTTGTCCCCGGACATCCGGCTGAGCACATTAGTCAAGAGTGCAGCATAGTGGGCTACCCCAGATTCTGGTTGTAATCCCAGCCCCCCATCTGCACCACCACCATTTTCCTTCTGCAATTTTTGGAGCTCAATTTGTGCCCGTATTTGTTCGAGCTTTATTTTTTCAATTTTCAACCGAGTGTTCATCACTTGAGAATCAGTTCTCCCCTCATCCTCTGATGCGTCATCAGGCTCTTTAAGTTTATCAGGCATTTTACCCTCCCCTTTGCCCGACTCATAGCTCTTCGCCATGGCTCGAGTGATCATTCAACCCAAATAGACAAGCATATGCGCTCACCAATTCAGGTTGATCAGCTCTTCGTCGTCGATGGGCAGTCAGAAGCACTGGCAGCGGAAGTGCCTAACTGGAATGTCTCAGGGTCCGTGCATCACTGAAATCCGGATTCTACCGCTTGCAGGCTGTAGTTCCTGTCCCTCTCGAAGACTGGAAGTCTTGTTTTCCGCCGTTGGTTCTTGCGCTGAGGCTGCGTCATGCAGCGTCCGTCCCACTGGTCACGCCAAGCGCTCGCCTGGCGTCCGGTTGCATGGCCGCCGAAAAGCCGAGTTTGCTTGCTGTCAGCACCGTTCGTGCTGTGCTCCGGACTCGCCGCTCCGTCGCATATGGTAGACGAAAAGCCTGGCTTGCTTGAACTGGCAACGTCCGTGTAGTATGCCGGACCCACCGCTCCGTCGGTTGTGGCAGGCAAAAATCCGGGCTTACTTGAACTCGGCGACGTCTGTGCGGTGTTGGAGCTGGCCGCTCATCCCAAGGTTCCGTAGCTGAACTCCCGCTGTCGGCTGCGCCAGTCACGGCTTGTGGTTTGGGCGCCGTGGGACCCGGGAAGGCAGGGAGCCAGCCTTTTGGGGGGAAAGCGTTTTATTCCGGTTCGAAGTCGTGCTTGCACCAGCTCCAGCGCACCGCGTTCCTTTTCTCTCCGCGTGCACCGTCTCCAGCCTCGGTCCTTTCGTCGTCACTTCGTCTTTTTCTCGTCGCACCAATCAGCGCACACCACGGGTAACAAAAATATAACAATCACAAAGCCCGATAACCCGTCGGCGACGGCGCGCGCTGAATCCGCTGCCTCGTGCATGCCACATGCATGACACGCCCCCCCCCCCCCTTTTTTTTTTTCTTTTCCAATAAAAAAATCACAATTTGTGTATTCCTTTACAATCGTAGCATTTAGAACAAAAGAAAACGAACTGCGCGCACATTCCCGTCCATTCGGCGTGAATGATCACTAGAAAGACTGACAAACTTCTTGAGAACATCTAAAGTACATTAACCACAAACAAAACTCCACCCGGCTACAGCCTTGACAACGCATCAGCAGCGACATTTCTCGTGCCTTTTACGTACCGGACATTCAGGTTAAATTTTTGCAACGCTAGCACCCAACGAGTCATCCTCGCACTATTTGGTGCTGCTGACGCCAAATACTGCAAAGGGTTATGGTCGGTGCGAATTTCGACCTCCGCCCCAAATAGCCACGTTTCCAACTGACCCAAGGCCCACACAATCGCGTAAGCTTCGCGTTCGATTACAGCC